GAGAGAGTCCGGGGAGGGAGAAAGGAGGGAATATCCTCACCCAGGATTAGAAACCACAGATCAAAACCAAGATTTAGGAAGAAAACAGACATGGTAGACATCAGGGTCAGCAGCAACACTCTGAATCTTTGCCCCACGCTGGGCCCACAACTGAGGCTTCTCCCATTCACATGTACCGTTAAGCAGGCTAGTAGTACGCCTGCAGGAGCCGATTACTGGCATGCTGCTAAGTGTGAATGGGCCAATTTATGTAGTAAGTACATTTATATGTGACAGCGTTCCCAAAGAATGTGTACGCAGCCAAGGATTTATCAATGACAGCTGCTGGAGCACTCACTCTGTCCCCATCAAAGGTGTGACAGGCTTAATGATGTCCTACGTTTGTAGAGTTGGCTTGTTCTTGCTCTTGTTTTAGAATGCATTTTGTGTTCTCATTTTGCATTTTTATGTTGTCGACTGCCGTGAGCTCCGCATGAAGGACAGTATACAAATTTAATAAGTAATAAAAAACAACAAATGGAATTCACCCTTTGCACAGCTGCTGCACACTGGGCTGACATCTTCATCTAGCTATCCACCACGAGCCCAAGATCTCATTTGCGGTCATTCAGTGCCTGTTCAGACCCTTTTTGATATATTTGTGAACTTGGGATTTACCCTAATGTGAAACACTTTACACTTACATTAAATTGCATTTGCCATTTTGATGCCCATTCATTCAGTTTAGCTTTTTCAAGTTTTTCCCTTTAAAAATAAATAAATGAAAATGCCCCTAAACAATTTAGTATTGTCACTAAACTTGGCTACCTCACTGCTTACCCCCAACCAGAATAGACTTAATAACCAGTCTATAATTTCAAGATCCCCTTTTAAGAACTGTTACATTGGCCATTCTCCAGTCCTCCAATATGTAGCTATTTTAGATGAGCAATTTCACATTCGAGTTCTTAAAGAATGGTCAGGTGGATGCCATCTGCATCTGGCAATTTGTCAGTTTTTCATTTAGCAGTAAGGCCTGGAACTTTGTTGCCTGTCATCGCTTTTTGCCTCAGTTCCTCATATTCCCTTCTTGAGACAGTTTGGACACAAGGAGTGCTTTATATTCTTCTGTGAGGATCGGTGCAAATAATTCATTCACCTTCTCTGCTATTTCCTTTCCCTCCATTAGCCCACCTTTGACTCAAAGGTCTATATAACCTTCCTAAGCTGAGGGCCTGTAACTAATGTATTTAAAGAATTGTTCGCTGTTGGGCTTTGTTTTAGGAATTTGGTCCTGATAGTCTTTTCTTTTTCCTTTTTTTGCACCCTGTTTTGTATTCTTCTTTTACTGAAGTTTGTGTTCTTTTTTTATCCTCATTTGGACAATAATTCCATTTTCTAAAGGGAACCTTCTTATCATTCAGATTTTCTTGACTCTACTCAGGAAACCATGCTGACATCATCTTGCCCCTGGGAGCAACTTTCCCGAAATACAATATACATTCTAGCTACACTTCTACTATTGTGGTTTTGAGGAACCCCCAAGAATTCTGGAGATTTGACTCTCTTGACTTTCCCTTCCAATTGCCTTTTTGCCAATCTCCTCCAGTTCCCTGTTCTGAAATAAAAACTGAATGTGATAGATTTTCCTGGCCATCGCCCACTTGCATTTGAATTTGATAGCACTACGGTCAGTTCCCAATCAGTTCAACAGCAGGTACATCGTATCCCAAGCCCCATTCCCAGGAGATACTTGTGGTGGCCCCTCTGGTCGCATCCATGAAAAACTGTTATAGAGCAGCTACCAAGATCAGGCTTCCTCAACCTCGGCCCTCCAGATGTTTCTGGCCTACAACTCCCATGATCCCTAGCTAGCAGGACCAGTGGTCAGGGATGATGGGAATTGTAGTCTCAAAACATCTGGAGGGCTGAGGTTGAGGAAGCCTGACCTACATCTGGAAGTTGTACCCTTTCTATGTGCAGATAAATGATATGATATATATGCTATAAATGTGATAAAGGGTCTTTTTAGTTATTTTTCTCTCTTCTTTTTTCTCTATAATTGTGTTTTGCAAGGATTATGAGTATTCTATATTTTCTTTTTCTGTATTCTTTTTCAATATATTCTTTTTGATTGTCTTTTTATAAATGTGTTTGGATTCTAGTGCTTAATATGTTAGAAACCTTCAACAAAATTGTCAAAAAGGGGATGGGTAGTGTGTGCTCAGTACTAAATTACAGAAGAACTGAATTCATGCTCACCTGCTTCCCCAATGCTATCCGCTATAAACAAAACTGAATGATCCGTTGACAAGGTAGGAGTCACAGAACGTGTGTGCTTAACCCACAAACATTATTTGATACGTTTGAAAAATAGGAGAAAGCTTCCTATATGCTGGATTTTCAGAATAGCCTGGGAAAGCTCCGCTATCTTGTAATCAGTTGTGAATGAAATCATGTCAGTGAATAACACATAAAAAACATTTGTGCCATTTCAGAGGTTAATTAAAAGCAAAAATAAGATGTACAACTATCAATATTAAAAACTGTGGGTACGTTCTACAGACTCAGGCTGCAAACCTATCCCTGGCTACTCAAAAGTCCTTTCGGATTCAGTGGGCTTACTCCCACTTAAGTGGGGTTAGGATTGGTCTTAACAAACATAGTCACTGTGAAAGAAGCCAATTTGTGCTGGACAGCTGACCTATATATAGCCCTACAGTCACTCTCATAGCACTGCACCTTTCTGCCAATATAATTATGAATTAACCGTGATGTTGCTTTAATTTAAACTCCCAGACAGGAAGAAAAGTGGGCATTGCTTAGAGACTGCTATTTTTCACAGTGTCAGAGTATGTTTTAACATGTTCCATGCCCGTGACAGCCAAAAATTCCCTTTGCTTCAGCCCTCTGGCATATGTAGCTTCCCCAGGGACCAATCTGAATAAAAAGAGCTGTTACTAAATTTTTAGTGAGGTCATATGTTTGGCAAACCTAATAGCAACATATTAAACTGCTTTTTTTAGGAACTTGGCTTAGTGATTGCCTTGCAGATCCTTAACCCTTTGTCAGCTCCTCCCGGACCAGCCACCCAGAGCAATTCCCTTAAACGATCCGCTCTCAACTCTTGGAACGTTTAACCCTGGAATTTGCAACATACACCCCCTCAACCATCTATTCCATTGCTTCCTGCACCAGCCGTTTTCTGCAAGATGATCACAACAGATGTTTCATTGTCAGGAAGAAGAGCTAAATACAAGGAGTGAGAGTGTATTTATAGCTCCCCTGGATAAGAACATTCTGTTTAAAAGTTCTGCCGCAGTACATACTTTCTCTCTCTCCCCTACTAAAGAAGGATCCCAAGCACACAGGACTGTATTGCAAAAAGGTGTTTCCATACAGGGAACTCCAGAGGGAAAGATGCGAAAACCACTCCTGCAAGCAAGGCGGCTTTTTGCACATTATGCAAATGGCAAAGGAGAAAGCCTAACTCACTCGAGCCCTTTCCCCATCGTTGTTATAAACGTACAGAGGACCAAAAGCATTTGCCATGGGAAGATGCCAAGTTATTCTCACATCTGGAACTCATGCAGTCCCAAACCACCCCTGCTTCCTCCTTGACCCGCTTCCCGTAATGGGTGAGAAACCCCTGGGTAAAGTGTTTCCAAAACAACACAACAACAAAAATGGCTTTCAAAAACCAAGCAGGGAACAAATCTTCTCCCTCCCCTTATTTTATTTCAAGCCAGGAAGCAAAATAACCTGTAGTTTCTTAACAGACTTTCTGAGATGGTGGGAATACAGTCTAATGAAAGGAGGTGTGGGGTTTTTTTTAATGGAATTGGGTTTTTTTTAAAAATCCTCCTGCGTGGAAATGGTAAGGTCCAAAGAAAGGTTTCAGCAAAACACAGACCAATACAGGCTTCCATGGAAAGGGATGCAGAGAAGAGATATGGTTCTAGGAAATATAAAGAGTGTGAGTGGGAGATTTGAATTTCTATCCACAAGATCAGGTGGGGGTTGGGATAAAATGAGCGAAGTCAGTGCAGGTCAGTCTTTGAAACCGGCAACACTAAAGGTCCCAAAGCTAAGATGACGGGCAAATAACCCTACATAGATTACCTTTATAGTAACAGTGAAACCGCTGACTAGTCCCTTCCTATTCTGCTTAGGTAACCATCAGACACCTAGGATCACATGAATGAAATTCACCATCAGGCTCCTTCCTATGCCAGCTTTGCCCCAACTTCTAGGAGGGGCAACAATAATCTGGCAGGGAGCCATGTCTTGGGACTCCTTTCACACGACCCAGGGCTTTTTGTGTCATCTTTGCACTGTGCGAAAAAGCTGCACTGCAAGGTCTCCCACGCCACAGTTCCAATGTATGCAAAGGTGATGGGGGGATTATCTACCAGGAATATAAGTATACTCATGGCAAAAGAAATCTATGATCATGAACATGCATGCAAAGCTGGCACGGACTACACAAATACACATGTAGAAAAATAGACAAGGCATCTGACATTACTTAGCTAATGTTCAAAAAAAATGGAAACCATTCTGGATCTGACTCTGAGTGCTTCATGTGTTATTTTCTGCTTCAATGAACTGTAAGAGATGTATAAAGATCCTACATAGCAGGACTGCTTTGTGCAGGTAACATTCAAATTTTAAGAGGAAGCTTTTTAGCAGTATCTCCCAGAAGTGAGTCACATTTCTGCTTGAAATGCTTGCAGAACATTTGGAGCAGAGTCCTCTTCCTCCTCTTCCTCTAGTGCTTTAGGAAATCTGTGTCTGAAGGGAAACTCCCACACTGTTTTCAGATGCGCGCGCACACACACACACTCTATTTCAAGAAGTCTACGACAAAGGTTCCAGAAGCTTGTCATTTCCAAAACGAGGCTGTCTTAATTCTTAACAGAGCTGCTCTGAGAAGCAAAGCCAGTGTTACTTTAAAAATGAACAACTCCTCAACACCTGGAAATGCGAATCGGGGTAGTAAAGCCAAGTATCACAAATGACCATCGTTAGTAAGAAAGTTTAATATGAAAAAAAGTATATATTTACAGACACTATTAAGCTGTACAATTCATTCTAATAAAAAAGGAAATGTTTTCACTTTACAAATTAGTCACACAATATATGCTGAGAATGTGCGCACGCGCGCACACACGTGCACACACACACACAAAATGCTGGCTGCCGTCAGTTCCCCAGCAAACTCAGTTGGATTTACTTTGAGCAATCTTCTGTTGATTCTCAAGGCACTCCTTCAGCTTGTCTTCAGTTAATGTTAATCTTTGTTCTAGAATGGAAACAGTCTGCAAAAGGAGAAAGGCAACAGCTGAAAGGTGTTGGAAAACCTTAGCATGCAAACCTACCACCTGGGACAAAGCTGAACTCAGTGGGACTTCACTCTGAGCAAATATGCCCAGGATCAGGGTGTGTAGAACATCTTCTATTTATGCATTGCGGGCTGTTTTGCTGCCTTACCAAACAGCCTTCCAAAGAGAATAATAACAATCACACAACAGAACTTAAAATGTCTACTTTTGAGATGTAGGATGCTGGCACAACATGGGAGCAAAGCAGCTTGTTATTTTCAATTTTAGACGCAGACTTTTTGGGGCGATGATCAGGGGGAGGGAATTATTTCCCTGCAGATCATTTCCCTGCTGCTCTCCACTATTTCATGCCACAATTAATTCCCGACCAAGAAAAATAACCTTAATTAAAAGGATTTGCCATAATATTGTCCCGCTGAAAAAAGCCACTGTGTGAAAGAATGTGTGGCTTTTACTGTACACTAACTAAAGGACCACTGGGTCTGAGCCACAGGGAAGGCAGGGAGAATTCCTCCACCACACACCCAACCTGTACACTCCCATTCATTGACATTACTGCATCAGGCACAGCAAGAGGTGAAAACAGGGCTGGTGTCCTCATTCCCCAAGCAAATATAGCCTGCAGCCCTCAAGACGACAAAGCCAACAACAGATATACCCCCATTCCCCAATCAGGAATTGTGCTTTCTGGGATGAAAGGTCACGCCCTTTCATAGAATCCTAGAACTCCTAGAGTTGGAAGGGACCATTAGGGACATCTAGTCCAACCCCCTGCAATGCAGGAACCTTTTGCCCAACATGGGGCTTGAACCCACGACCCTGAGATTCAGAGCCTCATGCTCTACCAACTGAGCTGTCAAATCTTGGATTTTTGTCTGGCATGGGGCGGTAGTTTCTTTGGCCAGGGTGGGGCGAGGAGAGAACTCTATAATGACTGAATGACCTGGGAAGGAGGGTGGGCTCCCTTTCCACGGGCTCACCATCGTGGAGGCCACTCCAGCCACATCAGGAGTGACTGGCAGGTTCTTCCTCCCCCTGCAACATTCCATGTGGTGCTCTAATCTGTCCCATAGGAATGAATGCTAGCAATTCAGTTATATGACAGAAAAGCAAGAGTAATAAAAAAAAAATTAAAGAATTTTTAAAAAAGAAATTATTAAACACTGAGAGACAAGCTTGGGGTGGTAATAGGGCTAGCTAGCCTTGGGTCTAGCTTGCCAGCAATCCTGGTGCTTGGATTGACAGGAGAGCTTGCCTCCTCTTAAGTGTGCCCCACACAGACTTAAAGCAGAAGAATGGGAGCAAGTGAGAATCAACCCAGATCTGCCTAGCCATTCCCTGGGTTCCGTTTCTTGGTCACAGGATGCTGACAACTGGTTTTTACAGGTATCTCTATACAGTGAAAGTATTATAAGCCAAAGAATCACCAGTCATATACAACCTAAAACTGGCCGCTGTCACCCTTCAATAGATAGCAAACTGCTACTTCATTGTGTGTTGTAAAGCCTGGGGGAAGAATATTTTGCAAGATGAGCTGAATGATGTTTGCAGATATGTAATATTAGAGGACCAATTAAGGCATCCTGCAATAACAGCCTCCTTAATCCATCTGAAGCCTCTTATGGGTGAGAAAGGCACATATTAAAAGCAATCATATTAGAAACTGACCCTGAAGTTCAAATGTTGAAGGCACATGTATATAAAGCTAAACATATATCTTTCAGTACAGCGTGTTGGGTATTAGGGCCCTCTGCTGGTTCTTTTATGGCACTGTCCAAAGGAATGCCATAGTAAGAAATCTCCGATAAGTACCAGGTGTGAATTTGTGCCGTTAATATGGTTTTTAAAGGTTCAAAACAGAATACAAGTTGAGGCCTATATATTCACATTTAATGCCGTTGTAAGTACTGATGAAGGAACTGTAAAAGAAGTGTGAAAGATCATTTACCCAGTACGTTTAGTATTTATACAACACTTCCTTCAAGCATTGTATCATATACACTCTCAGTAATCATCAGAAACACCCTGTACGGTAGGCCAATAATATCATCCCTGTATTACAGAATGGAGAGGGGAGAGGCTGAGCTAAGGTCTGAACTGGAGACTTCCAGATCATAACTAACAGCCCTAGCGGCTGCCGGTGGTTAGAACATGACCCAAGAAACAAAACGTTCACTTAGAAGGGAACCATTCTGCTACGTTAACCTGCCAGAAGGAAGTACTGTTACTCTGAGATGCCACACACAAACACCCCTACCTATCAACTTCTGTTTGTCTAAAGTCAATTCTCTGGCTTCAGCAGCCTTGTTCTTTTTTATAAAGGCAAGGTGGGACAATAGCCGTTTCAAACTGCTGTCACAAATACAGTCTGAGCAACTGGGACCTGCCATTTTAGTTTCCCACAATGTTCCCCCAACATCATGTTGTTTTCCTGGAGTGCTGCTACTGCCAGGAATGCTCAACAGAGGGCTCCTCTGGCAGGCTTCCCTGGTAGCAGCAGCACTAGCAAGCTGGCCAAGGACTATAACCACTTGGAAACACTCAACTGTAATCTCTGGGCCACTGAATTTCCAGTTCCGCATTCTTCCAGGAAACTTTATCTGGACAAGCCTCCTGGTTGATAACTCCAAGCAAGAAAGATCTCATGATAATGCTACTGTATTTAGCAATTGCAGAGACCAGGACCGGGGTGGACTTAAGTCTCTTTAATGTAATCTTCCACCAACTCGCTCAATCGCTGTGGGGTTTGAGATATATGCCTGACTTGTCAGGGAGCGCCCATTCAGCAAGCTAGAACAAGGCAGAGGCTGCTGACAAAATGAACACTTCAGCTAAAGTGCAAAAAGAAGCAAGGCTGCATATGAACACCTTGCTGTGCAGGATGTAATACCACTCCAGCCTCATCATTCCTAAATAATTAGAGTCTGGCAGACGGAAGCTACTTAACAGAATAAAAACAGTCCTGCTGTTCTGCCACTTGACACTTTTGTCTCAGTAGGAAGCAGACTATTCCACAGTATCGCCACTGGCCGCAACTGGAGTCGTCCACCACAGTGGTTTGAGAATAGGCCAGTGAATCTTAATTTAAAAAAAAATTCTATCCTGCCATCCTGGTGCAAAGCTCACAACACAAAAACACCACAATTAAACACACAATAAACATGAACTGAGTTCATTTTTGAAGAACTGTGCGTTCTATGTTTTGAGTATTGAATAGACCTCCCCAGATGCAGAATTCAAATAAAGCAACGGAATTAGAATAAAGCTAGCTGCATACCAATGACAACTAGAAGCGGAGAGTCTTTGTCTGCCAAAGAGAGAAACTATTCTGAGCACAATATCCCATTTTATAATTTAGAGGAAGCTGGTGATACTACGAATCCATGCCTCGCAACCTTCCAAATGGGGCCAGCCACACATGACGTTTTTTTTCCTTTACTAAGATAATGCCCTTATAGGAGAAAACACACACACGCTGTCATTTGTGAAGTTCAGTACAAATGTTTGGTTTGCCATGAACACTATTCCTAGGGTCTCATAGGCCATGCCTCACCATTTGGCCCCAATGCTAAATCAAATAAAACTTGGGCTGATAGGAAGCACACACATGCTGAATTATAAGATACAACATTTCCTCTCTTTATTTGCGGACTAGACAAGTAGAAAAGGACTTAAGATACATCAAAGAAGAATCGGTTGAGAATATATTTTGGGATATTCCATTTCAAGGCATCCATTTCAAGGAAAAGTCTCAAGTAGTAATTCCTTTTAATACCTGCTCTATCAACAAATAACGGGAGGAAATGTAGAAGTTTTATGACCCTATTCAAGGTTTCATAGAGACTCCTGAAAGTATGGCATACCTGAGTGAGAACATCCAGCTGTCCCACAATATGCTGGAGGGTGCTGGCAAGACCAGCCTCGTCAATTTGTTCATGTTGTCTTCTGGCGGATTCTGCTGTTTCAGTTTCTTGAATATGTTTATCTGGAACTTCTGCAAAATCCATCTCTGATTGCTAGAGGATGAAAAAAAACATTGCTTACCATATTCAATGAAAATGGGCGGAGTGGGTAGGTGGAGACTAGTGGAGAGAGACATCAGCTCAAGTGAAATACACAGTTAAGGATCATGTGCATCAGAAATTCGGAGAAGGGAGGCTGCTCAAGTCACTGTACTGCAGCTGTACTGCTAACACCTTCCAATTTGTGCAGGTGGCCATGAAAGCTGCTTAGTAGTGATCAGCAACACAGACATTCTGCCCGTAAGCCATCCCCACCCACCCCTTTCCCAGTGCAGCATTTATCTTTTAATTAAAGTATGCATAGTGGTACCTCTAGTTACCGACTTGATCCATTCCGGGGTGCTGTTCGCACCCTGAAAAGTCCATAAGTAAAGTGCCACTTTTGCGCGCACAGCAAAACCCAAAAGTATACACTTCTGGGTTTGCCGCGTTCGCAAGCCGAAAAGACGCAACATGAACCTAACACAACACGAGGTATGACTGTATAAAAGTGAAATATAACCAGAGAATCAAAAGAAAGAGCAGACAACTGATATTTTTATACTCATCAAGAAATTTAGAAGCCCTTGGCTCCTCAATTTGATGTCAGGGGAGGAACATTTCTCACACCCCAAGGCACTTCAGTTGATATTTTGCACCTTTAGATGAATATAACTCAAAATACAACGTAAAGTGTGTGTTTATTAAATAACAGCACAGTCTTTTCCTAGCCTACTGGATACTTGGCCATCCTTTCTAGCTCAATCCACATACAACATTCTCTTTCAATAATTCCTCAGTGTTTCTTGTCAGGTGCACAGGCCAGGAGAGTCCATCTACAACGAATGTGGAATTTGGAAAAATGCAGGTTCAAATCCTAGCATAGGGCTATTTCCCACAAAAGGGAAGAAGAGCATTTGCACTGTTTCCACCATAACAGGAGATTTATTCCTGCAGCAAAGGAGACATCTAGGGCCTCTAAGATTTTATTAATCACACTTGCAGGCAGAAGCCTGCCCTTCAAGTATTCTAATGTTCACTACAAGCATGCATAGGTCCGTAACTCACTGAAGGCTAAGTCATAGTTCAGCTACATGCATGGGCTACAAAGACTCATGTGCTGCCTCAGTCTTGCACAATCCCCTCTTCTCTCTTTTCCTCAATGCTAGGGGAAGACTTTGACAGTGTTTACTTTCAGTTTCCACAAATCCTGGCTTCTTGTCGCATCTGAAGCAAAGATGATGGTTCAAAACAAACCCATGGAAGTTTCAATACAGGCTAACTTCAAGCCATGGGTTATAATGTGGTTGTTTGAGAAGTTTGCTTTAAACCACTATGTCTAGGTCATAGACAATGATATTATTTGTGGAAGCTGAAAAAAAGTCTACATAAGTCTTCCTTCTGGCTGTGTAGCAGGATAGAGAGGGGGCCGTATGCAATTTTCAGTCTTTGCTTGATCTCATTCTAGCTTATGTAGGTAGTGCTAAAACCATGTCTTAGCATTACATGCGAACCAGCTCAGAGCGGACATTTGATTATCATTTTCCACAGCTCACAAAGTGTGTTTCTGTCAAAGCCAATAAGTGAGGCTGTGACAAAGCTCTGTCAAAATACTTGTGAAGGCTTGCCTCTACTCATCACAGTAACAGGAAAAATACCCTACAGAGATGTTTGGTTTCACTTACCTTTTCTTGTCTGTAAATTCCAGATTTCTGAATCTCTCTACTGCCAGTATCCATTGGTTTCTACAAGCAAGGAATCCAAGAGGGTTGTGTTATTCTACATTACCTGAGATGTGAAACTCGATGCACCCTAAATATTCCCTTCTGTCTCTGACAGATTTTCAAAAGTTAGCTACCTGCTGACTTGAACTGCACACTTGACCTCAATGTCACAGTGCAAAGCAGTGCCCTGATGTCCAATTTGACAGCCCCCAAACCTGGGGTTCTGCCCCGAAAGATTGTTTCAAATAATGCAGTCAAAAAAATGAAGACTAAGCGCTTTCATCACTTATTCTCACGAGTTGTGACATTGGCCGCTGCTCCTCAAGATCTACAGTAAGTGGCTTTCCCCATAATTTGATCCTCAAGAATAATTTCAGTTGCCTTACTAGAACTGTGGAAAAGAGGGTGATAGAACAGCAGGGAGTTTAGTAAGCATTTCTTAGCAAGCAGCTGCACTGTGAGTAGAAGGAAAGGTCATCCAGGATTACGGTCTTAAATGCAAGGGGCCTGGCTTCTCCATAATGGGCAACAGCCCCACCATCACTTCCTTTAGTTTCCTTGAGGCTTCACATAATTTGTAGCTTAAAGGTAAAGGTAAAGGACCCCTGACAGTTAAGTCCAGTTGCAGATTCTGGGATTGCGGCGCTCATCACGAGGGATGAGCCGAGGGAGCCAGGCCGAGGGAGCCAGCGTTTGTCTGCTTCTGCAGATAGTTTTTCCAGGTCATGTAGCCAGAATGACTAAGCCGCTTCTGGCGAAACCAGAGCAGCGCATGGAAACGCCGTTTACCTTCCCACCGAAGCGGTACCTATTTATCTACTTGCATTTTTGGCGTGCTTTCGAAACTAAGTTGGCAGGAGCTGGGACCAAACAACGGGAGCTCATCCCATTGCGAGGATTTGAACTGCTAACCTTCTGATTGGCAAGCCCAAGAGACTCGGTGGTTTAGAACACAGTGCCACCCATTTCATCTGTACCTTACTGGACACAAACCTTTAAAAGGTATGACATAAAATAAAAGCAATCATAGATTGGCCAAGTGAAATGGCTCCATTTAAGAATTTTTCAACTTGCTCTGATTAAAAAATAGGATAAAACAGAACCTCCCAATAAAAAAAATCAAACGGATATTCTGAAGTTCAGCCTGAGAATGACTGCATATTGGAGCATATCACGAGTTTCTCTAGCCCTGTGGTAAAAAACTAAATTTAAAGAAGGGCATGTAAAACTGACTCAAGTTCTCCACAATTACACCTATAGTTTACACAAGGTTCAAATGGGGTTTTCCCAAGCCTTTTAAGAAGATCAGCCCCCACCCCAGAATCACAGTACCGATGATCAAAGACAAATAATGCTAGCAAACCAATATTTGGTACTATCTAGACAGCATCATAAGATCAGTGCCAAAGTCCTTAATTCCTAGCACACACTTAACGTCATTCACAACTTAGTTTTTAACTTTATTTTTTAATGAAGGAAGCTGGAGCCTTCAGACCCTTTCAGCCAAGCAAACACACATACATGTGCATGAAGACAATGGCACTCACTCAATGGTTATCAAGCCACAGAAAGAAAAATTAAGCACAAGACATTTTTCAGAGCTTGTTCGCAGCCAATATGCAAAATTCTAAACAGGGACTATTTAGAAGGGGTACTGTATAATTACACAAGTGCAGAGAATAATCCTATTTTAGTTCATTGTTCCTATGCACAATTTGAAGAGCACAACAGAACAAAGGTATTTGATACTAAGTACCTACTTAACAGGTACTGGAAATATTCAAAAGAACAGAACACTGAATGGTAGGAGAGACAAGCCGTTTGTGGGACTATTATTGGCAACAACATAATTGACTAATTTATAGCTTCTACTAGATGAGAGCTGCAACTACTGTGGGTTGGGGAGGAGAATAAAAGCAATCCTCTTTTGAAAATCCCTATCACACTCCCAGGCAGCAGGCTAGTCTTGCTAACTAAGGGGGTTGTCACAGACTGGTTGGACACAGAGGAATGGTGGGAGGAACCAGCTGGGGAACCCCCAAGTGAAGAAGGCTCAGAGGGAGAAGACTGGGAGGAAGTGTCGGAAGCTGAAAAGGTAACAGGGCTTAGTGAGCTGGGAGAGTCTGTGGCAGAGAGAAGTCCAGAATTGGGGCAGAAGCTGAAGCAGGAGAGGAGGGAGGCCAAGAAAAAGAGATGAGTCCCGCTCGTGAAGAGGCAAGGGAGTCTCCCCCTTCCTGCTGTGACAAGCTCCCCTTCCCACTGGTCTCCCAGAACCAGGAGAGGAATGAAGAGGGAGGAGGTTAGCTTAGTGGGAGGCAAAGTCTTGGAGAAAACCCTGACGAAGAGGGGACTTAGGCAGCTGTGGGAAGACATGAAGCTTCAGGCTCAGCAACTGCTTCATGGAGGCAACCTGCCGCAGACGAGTCACTGTCCTGTGCAGATCCTGTTTTTGTTAACAAAGAGTTAACTCCAACTTGCTCAGTGTGATTTACTGCTGGCTCGCTCCTGCCAAGTGTTTGCAAAAAAAAAAGGTTGTTTGTCCAGCAACTTATCTGGGCCTGCAGAAGCTGAACTTTATTCACAAGTTGTTTCAATGGTGTCAGTCCATATTTATTGGGTTATAAAGAGCAGCCATCCTTCATAGAAACATAAAATTCAACAATAATTACTTGGCATTTATATATTGCTTTTGAATGTTTTAGTACTTTATACGTTATCTTATGATTAGGTTCTAATTTCCATATCACAAATTGGGGGAGATTGAGGCTGAAATCCCTCCTAGCACTACATACTGTAGCAAGTTCATGGGAGAGGTGAGATATGAACCAGGGACCTTCTGCTTCACAGCTCAAGTTTCTTTTCTCCAGCTAGCATTTCTCAAATACAAACCCATGTAAAATGACAAAGATCAAACACATACGACTCTTCCTTACTGAGTTCTCTGCCGTTTTACATTTAGGGGAATTCCGAACAAGAGAAAGAAAGCAAATTGTATTCCTATCCTCCCTAGAATTTGTGTAGCCATGGTATGAACTAGAAAGTCCACTCTCACTCAGAGTAACCAAAGTTATGGAGATTGTATACAACTGAAAGTATATGGCTAGTCTAATGCATCAGATAGTCTAGTTAGGAATAGAAAGAGAAACATTAGATTTTCATTTTTAAACTAAAGAATGCTTACATCTCATGACAAAAGTCAGGTCATAATAAAAATATTTTCACCTATCAGACTAGTTATTTTAGATATGGGTAAAGGATTATTTCATCCCTAGCTGCACAGAAAAAGAGTAAAGAGTGACACCCAGTGGAATAACTCTCCTAAGAAAAAGAAAACACTGAGCATCAGATCCTCTGGGGCATGAGTTTTGTAGAAAACTGGCAGAGTTATAAAATGCATGATAAGAAGCAAAAGGTGATAAAGTCAAGGTAACTGGAAGATAATCCAACCAGACAATAAATCTACATTCTTCCAAAAGCTTTCTTGAAACCTGAAAGCCAAACCCATCAACAGTCTGGTTCAGCTCAAAACAAAACGTGTCAAGTATGCTCACAAACATTAGAAATAAATAATAAGCATCAAAATTAGTAAGGCACTGTACAATCAAAGCAAGCTATTTCTTTAGGCAACAATGAAAGACAATGCACAATCTGGTTTTGATTTTGGAAGTGCTGCTTAGCACTGTACTTAATGAGGAAGTGAGGACTTCCTTATTCCAACAGACTTTTGGGAACTGACTGCTATTAATGAAAAGGGCTGGTGCTGCAATGTTTTTACTGTAATTATGTATACATATTTACCGTATTTTTCGCCCTAGAGGACGCACTTTTTCCCCTCCAAAAAGAAAGGGGAAATGTGTGTGCGTCCTATGGGGCGAATGCAGGCGCACCGACCCCTCTTGCTCTCCAGGCTTCAGGAAGCTATCCCCCCAGCCCAGCAAGCTCCCAGAGCGATGCCAAAGCTGCGCGCAGCTTCGCCATCGCTCTGGGACCCGTTCTGGGGGCTGGGATCGGGGGAAGCTCGGGCTTCCCCCGCCCCCAGCCGCACAAGCTCCCAGAGCGATGCCGAAGGTGCGCGCACCTTCGCCATCGCTCTCCTACCCGTTCTGGGGGCTGGGGTCGGGGGAAGCTCCGGCTTCCCCCGCCCGCAGCCTCGCAAACTCCAAGAGCGATGGCGAACGTGCGCGCACCATCGCCAGCGCTCTCCGACCCGCTCTGGGGGCTGGGGGAAGCTCCTGCTTCCCCCGCCCGCAGCCTCACAAGCTCCGAGAGCGATGGCGAACGTGCGCGCACCTTCGCCATCGCTCTCCGACCCGTTCTGGGGGCTGGGGTCGGGGGAGGCTCGGGCTTCCCCAGCCCCGCGCCTGGGGGGGGAAATATTTTTTTCCCCTTTATTTCCCCCCCCCCAAAAAAATCTAGGTGCGTCCTATGGGCCGGTGCGTCCTATAGGGCGAAAAATACGGTAATAGATCTTATAATTTTTAATTCTATTAGTGTATATTTTTTTAAGGATTAAAAATGTTTTTAGCTGTTCTTATGAGTCCTTGTCAGGGAGAAAGGCGGGATATAAATAAATAGATGAGGATGATAAATAGATGATGACGGTGATGCTCACAAGCGCTCTGCAAATATGAAGTCCTTTTAGGATTATGCCATATTATTCTAATCTAAACTAATTAAAATTGCCTGAAATATTGGAGGAGCTGGGATAAAAAAACACTTTAAAGGGGGGGGGACCCTCAGCTTTCAATACACACCATGTCACTATTCTCTACTCTAGAGTTATTTGTGCCACCTGATAGTTTTGTTTTATTTTGTGCCATTTTAAAACTGTTTAGTGTGGGGAACGAAAAGTTGCATTCTGTCTTTTGGAACTTGGGTCAACCATAAAAATAAAAGAATGCGCACGACAATAATTCCAAGTTGCATTTAGAAATATAAGCAATTTCAGGTTCCTCAGCAACGTTTTGTTGCAACTTTCTCCGTTGCTCAATAAATGCATACCAGGGTGGCGTTCATTATAAGCAGTGGGGTGGACCCAGAGCTGCTCCCCACCCCCCGCCAAAGAACAGAAGAGACTGCAGTCCAGTGAAGGTTCCCCACTGAAGATAGGGAACCAATTATCATTGATTCCTCCTTCCTACTCCTTTTATACACAGCCTGGGAAAAGTTGAGGGAGGGAGGCAGGAAGTCTAAACACTTTCATTTTTATTTCCCCCAAATCCAAAACATTCGTTTAATAAATAAATAAATAAGTTTTTGAAGGTGTCTTTTATATGAAGAACACTTAAATAGTTTGAATGACTGAACACTGCCATAACCTTTTGCCCTCGTTTCTTTTTCTGATACTTTAAAGACAAAAACTGGTAACAGATCAGAGCCATTCAATTCTGAGAAGGTTATGTAAGGAGCATGTCATGCGTTAGACCTCTTGAAGCATCGCATATCCTGGGCTGCTCTAAATGGGAGCTGGAATGTGCGTGGTATCCCTGTACACACAATTGGGGTTCCAGGTTGTATGGAATCCTTCATGTATACAAATGTACCTGTGAAGGCACAGGCCAAAGAGGGAAGGATTATTCGACACTCACCCACACCTGTTTAGAGTGATACAGGCCAGAAGAGGACTGCAAAAGTGACTAAAGGCAGGAAAAAACCAAATCATGTGCTCAGAGGTATTCAGATCTCTCATGATTACTAACCTGGTTAATTTTTTTGCTTTGTTTTTAAGATGAACCTTTTTATCCTACAGGGGCCACAGAGACAGGATAAACAGAAAAGATATAGCAGCAAGGGATAGGTGTAGGCTTCTAAGAGGCACAGGGAATAGTAGTCAAGAAAGACAAAGAGGAACTCTTACAAAACTCTGGGTTGATTCTTCAAGACATTCTTCCACAAGCCTCGTGATAGTATTGTTATTTATAAAATTTATATACCGCTCTTCATCCAAAGATCACAGGGTGGTTTACAACACAAAATTCAAAATGCATGACATAATAAAAACAATAACTGGTTCTCTGCAAAAAAAAAATTAGGTTTGGGCTATGATCCTATAACGCACCTTAGCTAGGAGTAAGTACTGCTCTACTTAGTGAGGTTAACTTCTGAACAGACATTTATAAAAGACTGCACTATGTATAGAAATTTGCTCAGGGCTTTTTTGTCAGCCGGAACTTGCCAGAACTCAGTTCCTGCACCTCTCAGGTGGATGCCATTGCCATTATAAGAGAACAAGGCTTATTATGGTGAGCTCTGGCACCCTTTTTTCTAGAAAAATAGCACTGGAGTTGCTTTTTATGACAAATACTCAAAGAATTACATTGCGCACGATGTAAGCTATTTAATTTAATTACTTCTCCTAAGAGAAGTTCCAAGGAAATTGTTTATCCTACTCCCCCTCATCCCCTCAAAATGCATTAAAAATCTGCTGTGGGGGGAGGGAGATGAACCAATGCCCAAATTAGAATGAATTCCTAATTTGAGAGCCACAAGGTCAGAACAGAAAGCACATCTGGCATATGAGCAGTTTGAGAAGAATTTGCTTATATAAAGAATAGCTGGATGAAAAAGAACAAAATGTTATAGTCCGCAACAGAAACAGCCCAAGAGACCACTGACAAAATGCAAGAAGTGTAGTGCCTTACACTGTAACCAGATGGGTAATAATGGGGCTATTGGACTTGAATGCCAGGCTTTGCTTTCTTTATCATCAACACACAATGAGAAGCTCAACCGGGATTACAAATAATCTGTCCCAGAAAACTAGAACTCTGGTAATGGAATTTCTTGAGAGCTATCGGTTCTACCAAAGTGTGGAATAACCAGAGAGCCGAAAAATCTAGAATGACCATCAAGGACATCAACTTACCACACTGTTGGAAGATCCATTCACATTCATACTGGACCTCTGTGTTCTCAGTGCATCACCATAGTCAGTGCCATTCACATTCATATTGCACTTCCTTGTTTTCAGCAGGTCGCCATAATCAGCGGCATCAAAGTTTGTTTTCCACACCATTACCTGTAAAGCCATTTTGAAACAGCTTTCAAACATGCAACGATTTGGGTAATAGCTTGTGTACAATTCACAGGATTAAGATTACATCTTCCCCAGAATAAATAATACTATGAAGCTTTTCCAAACTATGTTTAAGTAAGATTGCCTCCCCAGCAGAGTAGTTTCATTACAAGCTATTAATTTTTTTTTAAAGCTTTTGAAAGATTGGCCCAGAGAGCACATGATGCTATTAAGTTTTTGAAGCTATGATTCCGTATTGCCAGAGAACACTGATGCAAAATAAAACTAATAATAATAATAATAATAATAATAATAATAATAATTTATTATTTGTACCCCGCCCATCTGACTGGGTCTCCCCAGCCACTCTGGGTGGCTTCCAACAAAGATTAAAAATACATTAAAATGTCACATATTAAAAACTTCCCTAAACAGGGCTGCCTTCAGATGATCAAAAGCAATTTTGAGATTAGTAAATTTATCTGGCTACTTTTTAAAAAAGTTTTCAAAAGCATGCAGAATGTTTGGGGCTCTAACAAGCGTTCATTGGAAGATCCACTTATTAATGCTTTCCCATTTTTATTTGTTTTAACAACACACAGAAACAGAAACAGAGAGAGAGAGCCGCTCAGTACAAAAATGAGAAGTTAGGCCATTAGTAAGTTGCCTCTATATAATAAATAGGTAAGAAGCATAGATTAGATCCTTTGGGCAATGTCTGTGATTCCTATTAGCACCTCTTGGCAAGGACAGACTACAGGGGGAATACAGGTAGGTAGGTACAGTGGTACCTCGGGTTAAGTACTTAATTCGTTCTGGAGGTCCGTTCTTAACCTGAAACTGTTCTTAACCTGAAGCACCACTTTAGCTAATGGGGCCTCCCGCTGCCACTGCGCCGCCGGAGCACGATTTCTGTTCTCATCCTGAAGCAAAGTTCTTAACCTGAGGTACTATTTCTGGGTTAGTGGAGTCTGTAACCTGAAGCGTATGTAACCTGAAGCGTATGTAACCCAAGGTACCACTGTACTGGAATCCTTAGGCCCAGCACACCTGAGGGAATGCGTTCCCTCATACATATCTCCCTGTTCTTTTAAGATCAGCTGGAAGTGTCAGCTCGAAGTTCCATCACCCCAGTGATGCCAGACATATCAGTACCAGGAGGCCAGGGCTTCCTCTCTAGCAGTGCTGCAACTTCTAGAACAAGCTCATCAAAGAACTTCCTTAATTCTGACACCAATTTGCCATATTTCCACTCTTCCAGGCTTCTAAAAGGCTGCTTTTGATATCTTCTTGTTTGTTTCTAGTTGCAATACTCTTTTGTATTCTGCCTCGGGCATTTTTATGAAAAGGTAGCAATTTTTCTTTTCTAAATTGCATTCAACTGCTTTCAAATAAAAAACAAGATTTCAATATTTTAAGGCAAGTTTGCAGACACAGAGAAGAAAGTAAACAGAAGAACAGCATGACCATAGCTAAAGCTCTTGCTCTCTCTCTTTCCCCATTTAGGACTAGAAACACCACCAAAATATTTGGTCTTCCATCTGGCCCTAAAATCCCACTGTTGAGACACGACAGAGTTATATTTATCTAACTTATTGCAACTCATTTTCCTGGGCTCCATTTCAGCTGGTTTCTCCTGTCTTCCACTACCAGTCATGGCTAAACACTGTAACACAGCCCACAATCTTGGACTCTGATGAAAAGGAATGAAAGGGCTGGGCAATACTAACATGCTGGTGGCCTTTTATACTCAGTCACCAAACTCAGGTGAAAAACAGTTTGCTGAACAAAAGTTTTCTAAGGAATCAGAGGAGACTCTTATCTGTGATGCCTGCCCTTGACCCACTGCATTTTGTCTGTATATATATATTAAAATAAAATAAAATAGGTCTTTATTGTGAAATTGCACTTGTAATTTGTTGTAATCCATCTTGAGTGATGTGTATGAATTAGAAAAAAAAGGGGGGGAGTTTAATAGAAAATAAACATGAAGCAGATACCTGTTCATCGAAGCCTCCAGAAGCAAAGAAATCTCCAGTTCTTGAGAAAGTAACACAGGCAGCTGGTCCCTGTAAGAGAACAACTCATATAGTATGGACTGAACAGCCAGAAACTATATATTGAAACGGGCAGTGGGAGTGGACCTGCTTTTCTCTACTATCTATTGCAAAATATTTGTTGCAATCCCCATGTAGTTCAATCACAACTAAGCATTAATGTTGACTGAAAGCATACTTATATCCTGCTTTGCAGCCCCGAGAGGCTATAAAGCAAAGAGGTTCTTGCAGCAGCTTACAAAATATTCTCTGGAGCCAGGAACAGAAATAACATGGTGTCCCCATGATGCCAAGATTATTCAGGTGGCATTCCCCCTCCCACCTGCATCCCACTGAGGTCCTCTGAGGCTGCAAGGGGGTGAGGCTGAGCAGCTAGAACACACGCAACCCATGATGGCAGCATGTTTTCCCTTGCTGGCAGGCAACAACTCCCACTGACATCCTCGGAGGCAAGGGAGTGGAGCTGAGAATGTACAGCTATGACACGCTAAATAACCTTACCCAGTGATAGTATCTTGAACCTTCAATTATATTTGCACAGAACCACCCACAGCCAAGCAGAGCAAGGGAAGATACAAAATTTAGAAGTGCCTACTCCCTTTTTTAAAAAAAAGATCTCCAGAGCGTACGATAGGTTCCAAACTACTAAAATACTAGATTTAACCTCAAAAAAATTGCTGGCTGATTAAATCATGTGAACAAAGTCATGCCATGCAAACTTTTGAGAAGTAGCTGGAATACAACTTGGTTACAATAATGTTATGCTCAACCAGCGTAGTCATTCAATCCCAATATTCCAAGGTTAGTGCTTCTCCCAAGATATTGCCATAAATTCCCCTGAGTAAAAACTGAATCTACCCACAGATTTGTTCTGCACTCTTCTAGCCACTTACCTGGGATTAAGCTCCACTGAACTCAATGGGACTTATTTCTGAACTCAATGGGACTTATAACACACATGCACAGGGCCATCTGTGCATCCCCAGATGACAAATCATGGGCACTGAATGTAAACAAAAGACTAACCATTTGTTTAGGGCAGTTTTGTCACTGGTATGATTAATCTAGAAATAAGTGTGTGGGAAATATAATTCCAAACGTTTATGTCCAGTATCTGCCAGGTCTCATTTTGAAGGAGACGTGAAATGTGCATTACTGAGCTTTACTATCAGATGATTCCTACCTCAGCGGATTATAATCTATGTAAATTTTTCACACAAGGGAGATACTGTACTTGCAATTGTACATTATCCTCAACATTATGCTTAGGGGCCTTTTTATAATAATGAGCAATGCAAATTCCCACAACTATCTTCCTTGATTTGATTAAATTAAAACAAAGCAACCACAGTGAGTATATGGATTCTACTGCAAAACTAATCTTAAAACCCTATCTGCGCTATACATCTAAAGCGCTATGATACCACTTTAATCAACCATGGCTTCCCCTAAATAAACTTGCAAAGTGTAGTTTGTTAAGGATGCTGAAAGTTGTTATTTGTTATTCCACTGACAGAGCTACAATTTCCATTCTGGGAACTGTAGCTCTATGAGAATAATAGGGATCTCCTAACAACTTTCATCATCCTTAATTCCCAGGATTCTTTGGTGGAAACCACGACCATTTAAAGTGCATTTAATATATAGTGCAGATGGGACCTTAATGTGAGAAACCATAAAAAACAGTAGCATTATAGAAGCATTTTAATATTAGTCCAGATTTAATATAGACACATCCACTGGGACTTGTTCCAGATAAAACTACTCAATAAATATGCTTAGATTCGCTTCTACTTGAATTATACAGTACTCCTGTGTTGTACCCACACCTATTCAGTCTTGTTAATTCTTTGAAACAGACTCTCATTTGTGGTCTATATGTTATATTCTATGGCTCCCCACTAAAAAAAAGTTGTTTCTCTAAAGATGATTATAGCTTTGTCTGTATCAAGCCTGGTTTATCTATCCAATTACATGTCCTGAGAATGGGTCTAACCTACTATCCCAATAATTGTTCCAGCTTTCCCTAAGCTGGTGCCCCCCAGATGTTGTTGGACTACAATTCGAATCGTCTTTGGCCATCAGCCATGCTGGGTGGGGCTAATGGAAGTTGGAGTCCAGCAACATTTGCAGGGCACCAGCTTGGGGAAGGATGAATTATTCTATCATGTAGGACAAATTAGACAGCAAGTACAGCTTTATCAAAAAACAAACAAAAATCCCACAACCCTCCAACTGACACACAAAGAGAGAGAGAGAGAGAGAGAGAGAGAGAGAGGGAGAGAGACGCTGTACTTCTGCACAGGTTTTAATGACCACCCAAGAATTGCTTAGTTCTGAAACGTTCTGTTTCTGTACAAGTAAAATGTCAGCAGTGGGCCTATGTATTCATTCCAAGTCCTGTTTGTACTTCAAGAAGAATGTATTCCATAAACTGAAAGCCTTAAGACGCAATCACAGCAAACCAAATTTTGCAGCTGCAAATATCAGCAGCGAGTTAAAACACCATTTCCCCAATGATCCTTCTGGTATGAAGAGTAAGCACCATTATAATTGAAGACAGCAATGTAAACTTGGCAGCCTTCTCTATGTAAACTAGTACTAATCAGCTAGTAATGAATTCCTGGTAAACCAATAGTTGCGTCAAAGCAAAGCGCTTCTAAGGAATCCGAGGCTTCTCTCATGAGTAATTGTCCCAGAGCACCAGTCCAGTGTCAGAACAAGAACCAAATCTGAACCAGGCACTAACACGCAAATTACAAGAATTTAACAAGCTGTTCATCCAAGTAACGAATATTCCCTGTAGACTAGTCACTTGACTTACTGTCATTTCTATCAAAAGCCATTTAAAGCCTAATTATTAGTCCTATAAGATTCAGAACATCTATGCTATTAGGTCCCACAGAACTCCATCTCATCTCCCACGCTTGTTAGCACCTACATGAAACTGATGAGCAAGGTCACCCAGAGATTTTACACTCCCTGCTTTATTTCTGTTTTACATTGGATCCAGGTGAGGCAGCAAGGCAAATGAAGAAAGGTATGGCAACGAGAGCAATGGCTTTTCTGCACTGCCAAGCAAGCATTGGTTGAAACGTACTCCATGAAATGGAGTTTCAGACTCTTTGGAAGCCAAAGAGAAGGAGAAAGGAGAAGACAAAGAAATACGGAGAAGAATTCTCAGTGAACCACTCAAAGCAAAGGCAGGAACATAAGAGAGGAGACCCAAAAAGACTTTTGAGACAACTGCACTCCTGCCTTTGAGAGGAGAGGGGAGGCAAATCTACTTGAGTCCATTATAATATCACAGGAGAAGGTGTAGTGTACACAAACATGTGTATGGAGCTTTGAAAGGTCTACAGTAATAAACAACTCATGTCTAAAGAAGTTCTCCTCACCTGATGGCCATGAAGTGTATATAGCAGTCTCCCCTCTAGTAAATCCAGTATTTTTAGAGTTGAATCGTTGGAAGCAGTAATGAGGTAGTTTCCAGAGGAGTGAAAAGACAGGCAGTTCACTGAAGCACTGTGAACTAAAAAAGAAAGAAAGAAAGACAGCGCAAGTTACCAATACAGTTTGACATTAAAAAATACAAACTGAAATAGAAAGGTGGATAAGGTCCATACATCCATACAAAAAATGGCTGAATGGCATTTTTCCCCTTCTTATGATTTTCATCCTATATCTATGTAAGTTTTCAAGGACCCTCAGAAAAATCTAGTCCTATGAAAACTGGCACTGCCTCAGAAGCTCAAGGTCTGCCATAACTGCAAGTTAAAACACATACACACTTCTTTTCCTCCAAATTTTGATTTTTAACGGAATAAACACATTAGTCCCAGTTGTAGCAATAAGCAACTCTTCAAAGATTTCTGACCCCTACACCCATCTTGAGCCCCTCTGGTTAGCTGCACTGATGTCAGATAGGGCGTGGGAAGCCATGAGAGGGCAACTACCGTATTTTTCACTCTATAGGATGCACCGGACCATAGGAGGCACCGGACCATAGGAGGGGGAGAACAGGGGGGGGGTCTTGTTCTCCCCCTCTAAAACAAGGTGTGTTCAAGGTGCATTCACCCGAGCCTGTGGGGCTGGCGGTGGGGGGAAGCACTGCTTTCCCCCACCGCTAGCCTCAAAGATCCCTGAAGCCTTTGGAGCGCAGCGCCCCGCTGCTCTGCAGAGGCTTTGCGCGCAACCATCCCCAAGCTAGAAGAGCTTGTTCTGGCTTTGGGCTTAGCTGTGCAGCCTGCATTCGCTCTATAGGACGCACACACATTTCCCCTTAATTTTTGGAGGGGAAAAAGTGCGTCCTATAGAGCGAAAAATACGGTAAGTAGTAAGGGAGAGTTGTGGAGACAGACATCAGACCTGGAAATCCAAAGTTCATCAGCATCATCTATTAAATTAAACAGTATGTATGGCCCAGATACCATAAGCAAAGTGTAATTCAAAAGACCATGGTATGTGAAATATCTTTGGATTAAAAGCAACCTAAACCAGCTTCTGTATATTTGAAAAGGAAGAGAGAAACTGGAGTCTTCAATCCAATTTGTTTACGCAGAGGAATTCCCTACAGCTGCAGTAGCATTTTATTATGAATATTAAGCTTTATACACAAAATACCTTATTGAAACAAAAATGTCATTCCTGAAGTTTAACTAAAAACTAGCGCACTCTCTCTGCATAATGGTGTGATCACATTTTATTTAATTTCTTTAGCTTTGGTACTGTGCGTTTTAGAAAAATTATCTTCTTTTAAGCCAGGTGTGGGGAAGCTTTGGTCCTCCAGATGTCGCTGAACTACAACTCGCATCAGCCTGAGCAAACATGGTCAATGGCTAAGGATGATGGGAATTGTAGTACAGCAGCAGCTGGAGGGTCAACGCTTCCCTATGCCTGTCCTAAGCCAATGGTTCTAATTCAAAATTCTGCATGCAGCTCTTTCTGATGCTTGGAAGCTACGATGGCAAAACTACCTTTTTTGTTTAATTATCCACTTCAAGAATCAAGCTACAAGTTTAGCAATGAAGACTTCTGACAGCGCATTGCTTACCTTGGTAATGCTGCAGAAGCCTATTCATCCTAACATCCCATACTTTCACTGTGTTGTCTGTGCCAGCTGCAGCAATACATGTACCACTAGGGTGGAAGTCCACATGAGGCACAAAGCTGCAAAAAGATGGGAAGACAAGATCAAATCTCTCTTCTATTCTGGAGGAAGAAAACAATATTTTAATCTAAGCAAGTAGCGAAAAATACTAGCTCCTCAAAAGTTGTTCTTACAAAACATTGTGCTACTTCATAGTAAATTTCCCCTAAAGCGTGTAAGATGGATATTAAAGGTTTTTATCAGCCAGTATTTGCTTTCCCACATGGTAAAGTCACCATGAGACTTTGCTCAGCCCATTGTATTGACTATTTCACTGCAACACTGGCTCTCTGTGCAGCAAAGAAAGCCACAGAAGGGTGAACTGCACTATCTTTCCCATGGTTTGGGGATTAGAGAAACTTCCATTAGGACGCTTATCTCTTTGGATGTGATTATAAGGAGCCCTACAGAACACTGCTCACTCCAGAGAGGTCTTGTCCTCTCTGCACAAAACTACTGAAAGCTGTAACATACAATCTCACAGGTAACACAATATTCTCTTAATTTAGAGCCTTTAATGATATTATATAACATTAATAAATAAAATTAGCCTAACGTGTTGAAATCAGTGATTATGAAATTACCGATTCCTGCTAAAATACTGAGGACTTAAAAAATGGAACAACATTCAGTCTCCTATAGTCTCCTGAAACATCTGAGCTGTCAGACATGGAAAAATGAACAGGAGTAATTGAAAGCTGAGAACTGCTGAGACCATTAATGGTGCGACTATTTTGACTATTAATGTTGTCAATAAATGAATTTGATAGCTTATTGAAATTTGCATCTTCAAGTTACGTTAGATAAAACTTTGTTTTTGTAACTGGGTTTGTTTTGTTGTCGGATTTTTAAAACAGACATTAAAAAAAAAAGCAACATCACCCCAAAGATTAAACATTCCTTTCTCCAATTAAGGTCCAGATGCAAGTGACTGCTGAGCCCTTGGCTGACAATCAATATTTATTATATTTTGCTTCAGTCTTCCACCGGGGAGTCAAGGTTACACTTCTCCCCACTTATCCTGCTTTACCTTAACCAACAACCCTGTGAGATGAAGTAGGCTGGCTGAAAGACAGTGAAAGGCCCATGGTCACCCAAATAACTTCAGGGCTGAGAAGGAATCACAAAAAACCTTGCATTGCCACAGAAGAGCCTAAAAAAGAGAAGTACAGCCGTACCTTGGAAGTCGAACGGAATCCGTTCCGGAAGTCCATTCGACTTCCAAAACGTCTGGAAACCAAAGCGCAGCTTCAGAAGCCCTATCGGATGTTCGGGTGCCAAAGAACAATCGCAAACCCGAACACTCACTTCCGGGTTTGCAGCGTCCAGGAGCCAAAACGTCCAAGTACCAAGGCGTCCAGGATCCAAGGTACAACTGTATCTGCTATTCCCCAGCACTCTAGGAAAGCTAGAACACTAAGACAAGTTCATGCACGACCCAATTGAATCCAACACCCTCTGTGGTATGTCCTCAAGTCCCCCATTGGGGACAAAAGTGAGCCTTATCCCAAATCCCGGGTGGGAGTGACTTTCACTGTTTTATTTCTACGTATTCTATATTATATTATGTTGTTAGCCACCTGGGGCTCAAGGAAAGGTGTGATAGAAATGTTTGAGATAAATAGGAGCTGTCCTAAGGGGCATGGCTGAGCGAAGCGAAAACAACGTCCAGAACACAGACACGTTTTAAGCATAGACTACAAATAATATTTATGGCACTAGTCTTCAACAAGACTCCCTCACAATACAAATTTCTATCACACATGGGTACATTCAAATGGGCACAGTCACCATGTAAAACCAACATTGTTTTTAAAGAAACTGCGACAACTAGTGAGCACTAGTGTGACTCAGGCTTAAAACCCATATAATAAATGTTTGCGAGTCTACAAAAAAACAACAACAACCTATGCACAAATGCAATTGTTATTATCTGGCTTCTAAGCTTAGTGTGGTGTAAAACGTTATATTGAAAAATTTAGAGAATGTGACCAAATTACAGAGAATGTTCACAGAATGAAAGATACAGCAGATAAGGAGATACGTTCTTGTACATCAATATAGCAAAGCTCTAATCAAGGTTCCACAAGCTGAAGGCCAGTCCCCTGAAGCCCCAAGGAATTGCACCAATACTTGCCCACCATGTTCACAGAAAGAATGTATACATTCTCTGCTTGTTTTATCCCAAAGTTTGACAGTTTTGTCATCACTGGATGATACTATCAATCTTCCATCAGGAGAAAACCTAAAATAAATACATTCATTAAAGCAAGATTAGGAGCAATATAAGCTAGATCTGGATTGTCCTCAGTGACAACAAGATTATTATTTCAAAAGTCAATGGCTAAGAGGCACTTGTGCTAAGCAAAGAGGGTGTTATTTAACTAAGTTTTACTCAAAATAGACTTACCTTTGTCATGTTCATTAATTGCAATGGGTCTACTCTGAGTTAAAACGTAGTTGAATACCACCCATAGGCCTTTTTCAAGGACTCTTCTGATTGTAATTTGTTTTAACCAATTGTAATGTTTACTTATAGTTGGTAAGTTGCCCTGGGACTATAAAATGATGGGCAGGTAAGAAATTCAATAAATAATAAATACTGCTATTGATTAACTCTTGGGAGTTTCCTCTTTGACAATCTATCTCAACAAGATTCCATCAACTATGCATATAGTCAGAACAATGGACCTTTCTATACATGGACAATCTTTTTGAGATATTACAGTAACCAACAAAAACCATAGCATTAAAATGTAAGCTTTTCTATTAAACAATCCTAATGGACCAGTAATTAATGAAATACTGTATTAATGAAATACTGTACAAGTAAGTCTTATTTTTCCTTACAATTATTTCCCCTTTTCCCCTCTTTTTGTTATCTAACATTTAAGCCTCTTTGGCAGTAACAGTAATTATTAGAAACCATTTTAAAGAACAGTGGTCATAGTCAGTAGACTTATCGAAAACAAAGCACATAGAGAAACTGACATGGAAGATCAGAAACCAAGAAGACCAAGTATTTGTTAGAGATTGGAATAAATTCGTAGTTTATCTAAAAAACCACAGTAAGCAGTTAAAATCATTGGTAGCGTTGTAATGAAATTTGTAACGTGAAACTGATTATGGTAAATTAGGGATACACAATAGTTGGAAAAATTACAATATGTGTGGGGGGGGGGGATTTTATTTAAGAACCCATGGGAGGGAGGGGAGGAAATCGGAAGGTTCACACAACCTTGTAATTGGATATATGTAAGAGATAATATAGTATGTATAAAACTGTGAAAAAATAATAAAAATTTATTACAAAAAAGAAAGAAACCAAAGCACTTATTGAACTCTATGGATTTCAGAAAGTGCACTCAGTAGGATGAGTTAAGATAATGTTGCTTGGTTATATCCAACTGACGGATTCTTCTAACAATGACAGTTCCCTTCCAACAAGACAGGAATTAGTTGGAAACACAACTGAAGCTCTGAAAGGTGGCTAACTCCTAAAGTATATTGATAGCCAGGTTAAAAGATGAGTGGGTTTTTAAGTGAGTTAAGCAGAATTTCAGATCTTCCTACAGTTGTGTACTTTTGCTATACAAACTGGTTTTATGCCATATATATATATATCACTCAACAATGTCAGGGGGGAAAGAGTTTTACTTACTTCGCACAGCGAACCCAGTTTATGTGCTGACTTAGTGAAAATAAGAATTTTTGTCTGTGGACTGCCCAAACTTTAACTGTTTTGTCATCAGAGGCTGTAACCAATGATTGGCCATCATTAGAAAAGTGAACACTTCTGACGGTTCCTGTATGAGCCTTGAAGGTAGTCGATTCTCCCTTGCTAAGTTTAGGGGAGGAAACACAAAAGATTAACATACTGCCTTCCACACAGTATGAAGCTAATGAACATTTGCCTACTGGCTTCTAATATATATATTTACATTAGGATAAAACTGTTGGTTTAGGCCTCTGGAGCATACCAAATACAGGAAGAAAAGTGTTTTACTTAAATCTAGTTACTGGAATAGCTCCTAACGCAAGACAGCCTGTGTTTGTATCTTTTACGCAGAACTAAAAAATAATAATAAATGTTTAAAGTGGTAAACGTCAAACAGACTTGTTCCAATGATGCAATTTAAAGAAAAATCATGTTAGAACATCACATCATAGGTCTTGCTACAAAAAGGAGAAAGACGTCTAAACATGAGGGGCATACTGTGAGTTTGAGAAACTTTACAAGAGTAATTCACATTTAATTATACACATACATCATTCCGCCCTGAATTTTTTTGCACAAATAAGTGACAAGCTACAAGCATATTTGTGTATTCTTGTATATGATTCTACTGCTTACATGAAAGTACAGAACATCAAGCTGGGAAAGGTCAGAGCCAGGGTTTAAAAAATAAAAAGGGCATTGAGTTCCCTCTTCTAAATATATTTCATAAAATTTATACACCACTTGATTGTAAAAAAAACCTGAAATGTGTGTGAAACATAGGAACTGCCTTGTAGCAAGTCAGACCGCCCATCCATCTGGCTCAATATTGTCTGCAATGCCTGGCAGTGGCTCTCTAGGATTGCAAACACAAATATGCCCAGCTCTACCTAGACATGCAAGGATTTGAACTCACGACCTCCTGCATGGAAGCTCTTCCACTGAGCTACAGTCCTTCCCCAAAGCTCTGCCAACTGACACATACAGTGGTACCTCAGGTTACAGACGCTTCAGGTTACAGACACTTCAGGTTATAGACTCTGCTGACCCAGAAATAGTACCTCGGGTTAAAAACTTTGCTTCAGGATGAGAACAGAAATCGTGCGGCGGCGGCTCAGTAGCGGGAGGCCCCATTAGCTAAAGTGGTACCTCATGTTAAGAACAGTTTCAGGTTAAGAACAGACCTCCAGAACGAATTAAGTTCTTAACCCGAGGTGCCACTGTATTTTCTTCTCAAATAGTGTGTGGCTACTTTTTAAAAGGGACGCGGGTGGCGCTGTGGGTAAAGCCTCAGTGCCTAGGACTTGCCGATCGTATGGTTGGCGGTTCGAATCCCCGCGGCGGGATGAGCTCCCGTCTTTCGGTCCCAGCTCCTGCCCACCTAGCAGTTCGAAAGCACCCCTAAGTGCAAGTAGATAAATAGGTACCGCTTTATAGCGGGAAGATAAACAGCGTTTCCGTGCGCTGTGCTGGTGCTGGCTCGCCAGAGCAGCTTCGTCACGCTAGCCACGTGACCCGGAAGTGTCTCCGGACAGCGCTGGCTCCCGGCCTCTTCAGCGAGATGAGCACGCAACCCCAGAGTAAGTCACGACTGGCCCGTACGGGCAGGGGGTACCTTTACCTTTTTACTTTTTAAAAACTGGAGTGAAAAGCTCTTTGCCATAGTTACTGTACACAGATGGAACAAGCATAAAAAACTTCTAATTCAGCATGTTTCAAAAAAACCTGAATATCGCAGAAGGAACATTTACAATATCCATATAGTTAACCTTTCCTCAAGGAAAGTGTACCCCGAGGCCTTCCAATGCAACACAAACTAGATGGGATGAAGCAGTAGCTTTTTGTTGTTGAAGCAATATGCTGATCGTCAACTCATTTTTAACAGGGACCATACAGTCATACCTCGGAAGTCAAACGCAATCCATTCTGGAAGTCCGTTCAACTTCCAAAACGTTCGGAGACCAAGGAGCAGCTTCTGATTGGCTGCAGGGAGCTCCTGCAGCCAATCAGAAGCTGTGGAAGCCCCGTCGGACATTCGGGTTCCAAAGAACGTTTCCAAACTGGAACACTCACTTCTGGGTTTGCGGTGTTCAGAAGCCAAAACGTTTGACTCGCAAGGCGTTCAAAAACCAAGGTATGGCTGCATTTGGAATCAATCTACAACTAGAGGTCAGTAATGTGAGTTCCGTCCAATAAGTGTACCCACATGAGCTGACAGACAAAGGGCTTCTTAACCTTGTCTTTAGTGTGAACAGCAAGTGTCTTTGCCATTGTTCTTCCCTTATATACACCTGTTTTACAGTGAAAGTCGATGCACTTTATCCAGAAAAATAATGTCCGCCTTCATCGTTAATAAGCTGTCATATTCACCGTAACTGAACTTGGTTAAGACAAAAAGCCAAATTCAAATCTTAGAAGACTTTGGAGAGAGCGGCTGTAACTCATTGGCAGAGCTCATGCTTCACCTACTTTATATCCCAGATTCAATCCCTGACGAGGATCCCCACGCAAGGATAGAAATAATATCCCGCTCTGAAAGGCTGAAGAACCACTGACAGTCAGTGCAATGCTGAGTAAGATCAGCAAATGGTCTGGCTCTGTACAAGCAGCTTCCTGTGTTCCTAATAAGAGAAATAACACACATACAGAGTGCTCAGATAGCATATACTTACACACTTGGAACCCACAAGCGAACTGTTTTGTCTCTAGAACCTGAAGCAATCAGATGGCCGGATGGTGAAAAATGCACACTCAGGACTGCATCTTTGTGACCCACAAAGCGGTAGGCTCTCATTTGAGGTTTCATACTCCAGATCATCAGGCATGAATCCATAGAGCCACTTACTGACAAAAAGAATATACCACCTTTCAAAATTATACTCAAAGGAGAGATCATACGCATACACACTTGGCAGGAATTTCAGTCACTATTTCAATTTCTCTCTTCCTTTCCCTGAATGAAAGTACAGTGGTACCTTGTTTTGAGTCTGGGATCTGTTCCAGAGCCCCGGAAGCTCAGCGAAAGGGACGCTCGACAAAGAGCCACTCTGCGCACACGCGTGGAGCAGTTTGCGCTTCTGCGCATGTGCGAGTGGCAAACCCAGAAGTAACCTGTTCCGGTACTTCCAGGTTTGCCGCAGACGTTCGCTGAAATGGACGCTCGACGGGGCAGACATTCGTGGAGGTATTACTGTATTCACTAATCACAGAACTGAAAGCAAGCACACAAGCTTTTCAGTTCATCCCCGTAATTGAGAGAAATACCTCTTGAAGTATATGCAGTCTCACCTTAAAAACAGGCAAGGAAGGAAACCAAAGAATTACAAGCAACCATTTAGAGAATTTAGTACAAATGTCCTTTATTATCACATCATTTTAGCTGCTTCCACCAAGCTATTTGTTTTCAAATATTTATATACTATCCAACAAAAAAAGTTCAAGGGGAATTTCAACTAAAAAATAAGATTATAATACATAAATATATGTGATGTTTTAAAAAATAATAATCAAAAACTGAATAAAACTTAACAGATCTGCATGGTTGAACCAGCCTTTCATCTTATGACTCAGTTGCTCTGCTGTAAAATCTCAGGTTTGTTGCTACTTTTCTTAATATCTGATAGCTAAAAGCAAGGAAGGTACTTTAGTATGCTGTCAAGTCCAAACAATTTGGGAGAACTGCTAAAAGCAGACTGAATGCTATTTTGTTCTATGAAAGAAAACTATACTAAAGAAAATTCTGCTTAGCTGACAACTTACCTAGCTGTTTATTATTTAGACTGAAATCCACACTCGTTACAGCATCACGGTGCCCTTTGAAATGCCTCTCCAATGTTGGATCTTCCTGCAGGAGGAAAGAAGTCGATATTGGACTAAATTTTTGTACGGCTACAGACAGTATTTCCGAAGCAAGAAGCACACTTTATATGTTTCTGGATGCTGCACATCTGCCATAGCAGGCATCATTTTTATTGTGATTTCTTACTGGTTTAACAGTTTCATTTTCTAATTTGCTCAGTCTAGTTTCAGATTAATAGCACAGCCTTTTACTGTGACTCGCCTGCTTGGAACAGGCAACAAGGAGTTCCAATCAGCTCAGGATGCATGCGAGCAGAGAAGGGACAAGTCACTCAGTTCCTCATCTGCCCGCCCACTGCATTTCCACAATGGCCATAGGGGAAGGCAAGTCCTGTCCTCCACAGCCAGTGTAGAAACCAAGTGGGCTGGAACTGGAAGGCAGACAAGGGTTGGCGAGATCCATCTATTCTCCACTGGCTCACTTGGTAGAAACCAAGTAAGACAATCCTGTAGGTCAGTGGTTCTCCAAGGGTGTGGCACACCACATTGGTGTGGCAGGAGAAGATGGCAAGTGTGGCAGAAAGATTCAATGACAATCAAAAAAACAATTTAACATTTCAGTGTAGCATAGTATAGTATATTACCAAAATATTTCTTTTTTTAAAATTTAAAAACATTTATTCAAATGTTACAATACATTTTCAATCAATTTATTTCTTTTATTTGCATAATATGGATAGATATCTTTTCAAAATGAGAGCAGGAGTGCCAAGTGATACTGAGGACAAAATCCTAGTTGTGATCCAGAATTGCTGTGCAAAACATCATACTTTCTGGATGTCCAATGATTGTATTATAAAGTAATTGTGTTCTATGTTATAAATCAAGCACTGCTAGTTGTTGTTTCTTTTTGTTTTCCAATGCATTTCTTATCAGTAAAAAAGTTAACAACTACAAAACACACAAAGGCAAGGAGAGTAGAGCATAAGGGCAGAATTCATACGGATATTTTTTTATTTCACAAAAATGCTGGAGCCATGTTCTTAAATGTAAGCATTTAAATACTGTACCATTCTGCATACTCTGTGGGAAGTGCAGTAGCGGCAGAGACAAATGACAAGCACCAGACTCACACATGTATATTCTGTACACTGAGCTTTGCAGTATACCTCTCTTCCTGGGATTCTTTTCTTCAGAATCCAGTTTAGGATGCACAAGGCCATTTTAAGCTACAGAGCTCTGCCCAAGGATTATACTTTAATACTCTGATTAGATACTCTCAACATTCAACACACAAATACTTCTTTGGAAGGATCAGTGCAGGGCTGTATATAAACTATAATTCCAAAGAAGCAGTGTTCAGAATTCAGCTTCCTAATAAAGTGTGTACTCATTTTTTAAAAAGTTTCTATCCCTTGTGACTGTGAAGATATACCATATTTGTCTGTGTGTTATCAATTCCTGCTAAAACTGCAGAAGCCAGGTTTCTTGCATTTGTTTAGCAGTTTCAAATTGCAAATTGGTTTAATTTGAATACTCCAGCTCATCCTGTTACATAAACTGGATGTTCTTGTGTAAAATTTTATTTTACTAAACACCATACACATAGACCTGGGATAATTTTGGGGAAGAAAGCTATCCAAAATGGATTTTAATATAAAAAAGGAAGATGAAATAGCCTTTAGCCTACAAAAGCCAATACCATCTATTGAGTTTGTTAGTCCTTAAGGTGCCCATGACAACAGTTTGATCCTGCTGAATCAGACCAAATGGTATCTGAATCAGACCAAACTTCTAGTCCAGTATCCTGTTCTCACACTGGCCAACCAGATGACTATGGGAAGCCCACAAACAGGACATGAGTCCTGCACCTCTTTGATCATGATCCCCAGCAGCTGGTATTCAAAGGCATACTGTACTGCCTCTGAAACAGACATCATGGCAAGTAGCCACTGAGATAGCCTTATCCTCCATAAATTTGTCTAATCCTCTTTTAAAGGCATCAAGTTGTGGCCATCACTAAATCTTGTGATAACTTTTTATAGAACAGTTCTAAGAATTACAGTTTATATAACGTGATCACTGATATACAGTGTACATGCAACACCCAATTAAATTCATGCATATTTTCAGCCACAGGTGTACACACCTGTCTCTTTAAAATGTATTGTGAGTAGCAGCTATTACATCACAATCCTAAGTATATTTCCTTGGAAACTCTCCTAGAATCAACGGAGACTTAGGGAGCTTCCAGGTCATCGCTATTTGGAGTGGGACTCAAATCCAGCAACAGGCAAATTGAGGATCATTTGGAGCTCTCATGCAACAAACCCACTTTCTCCCCACAAACCAGACTTTTTTTTGCTGTAAGGAAATTGACAGGAAAGTCACTGGAAAGTTTGGAAGTCATTTGCTTGATGCAGCGCTGTCTAACACCCACAAACACAAATCAGAATGAATACTTGTTAAATAACCTTCCTGCAAACTTTGTGCAAACAAATAAGAATGAATACCTAAAAGCAACATTACTTCTAAGCAGTGGTTTTTCCCCTTAGAAAAAACAACCATGAAGTTGTTACAGTGCTACACTTTTCAACAACAAAAAAGAGGTGCCAGTACTGCATACTCCTGAGTACCCCCTGAAAAAGCACTGCTTCTAAGTAACAATAAGGGGTTTGTGGTATTTGATCTAAAAACGTTTTTAGGTTTTTTTACAGCACCACTAAAATGAAATGTTCCAGAATGCCTATCTCTACACGTTGTTTTTCAGGTAATTCCTGCAAGTCAGGCAAAACAACCCTGACAAAACCCACTCAGGAGACCAATGTGAAAAACAATACAACCTAAAATTGCAAAGAAGCAAAAATGGGCAGGGTTAGCCTTAGGAAGTGATCAGAATTATCCCAAATCTGACAAACTGTGACAACACATCAGGACCCATAGCCTTCCCCACCCCCGCCGGTGTCTTTATTCATTACAATGATGTCTGGCAGGCATTCATGTGACGCTTTTCCCAGCAGAGCGATTCTGCAAAGCCGAAATGGTCCCTGACTTACTCTCTTGTAGCTGTTATTTAACGGGGCGGGAGGAGACGGGCGGCAGGACTTCCTAACAGTAGGGCAAACAGCTCTTCCTGCACCAAGCACAATCCAACCGACTTCAAGCCCAAAGTGCCATTTTTAAGCGTGTTACAGGCAGGAGCGTTTAACATTGCGCCCAAACCACGTACTTCGCTCTCAAACCCTATTTTCTCCGCCCGCCCCACTATATATTTATGAGAAGGAAATGTTACTAAACGTGTTTTGTTTTTGTTTTGAAAAAGCTTGCTGGCTCCTCTCTTTGTGACTTTTTAGACAGCCCCATAGAGCCATGGTTCCCCACAGGGGAGAAATTGGATTTTTCAGGGGGGCAATTCGGGAATGAGTTATGAACAGTTAATGGCCTCCACGTGAATAGGAGTTCACTTTTTGAACACTGTAATAAGAATTATATGTCGGGGGCTGGCGCTTTAGGATTTTAGAGATGCTTAGATGGGGCCTGGCCAAAAAAAGTTTGGGAACCACTGCAATAGAGAAACGTGTGATGCTGGTCGCCCCCCCCCCCCCGCCCACCGACCCCTTTTGTCTGCTAACAGGGCGCTGCGGCTCTGCAAACTTGTGCCGACCGAGCAGCCGCGGTCTCCATCGCCCGCCCTGCTCCGAGGGGCCTCCCTCTTCCCGCCGCCTCGAAGCCCCGCTTGCCAGGCTGCCCGACCCTCCTCGGCCCCTTACCAAGCAGGCGAACGCCATGGCGCTGCGGGAGCCGGAGCCGGAGCGGAACCGACAGGCCGCCGCTGCTGTTCGCCGCCGGAGCGATTCAGTTTGCCCGCTCCTCGGGCCGCCTTAGTAACGGCGTCGGGCGCTTAAAGGGGAGGCGGGGCAGCGGGCGGGAAAGTGTCCGCCGACTGGAAAGCGGCGTCCTTTGAATGGAGGAAGCGGCGCCTGGTTTTCAAATCGAAGGGGGCGGGGAGCTCATGCTGCACGAGAGACGCTCTCGGCGCCAGAATGTGGCTTGCAGGGGTCTCGAATGGATGGATGGGTGAACTCAGGAATAAGCCTCCTTGAGTTCAGTGGTGCAAAAGTTAAGAGTGTCTTACTATGACCTGGGAGATCAGGGTTCATAATCCCAACTCAGCCGTGAAGCTCGCTAGCTGACCTTGGGCCAGGCACTCCCTCTCCGCCTCACCTACAGTGCCGGATTTATGTGTAAGCTAAACACGGGTGGCCCTGTGGGTTGAACCACAGAGCCTAGGACTTGCCGATCAGAAGGTCGGCGGTTTGAATCCCCACGACAGGGTGATCTCCAGTTGCTCAGGCCCAGCTCCTGCCAACCTAGCAGCTCGAAAGCACGTCAAAGTACAAGTAGATAAATAGGTACCACTCCGGCAGGAAGGTAAATGGTGTTTCCGTGCGCTGCTCTGGTTCGCCAGAAGAGGCTTAGTCATGCTGGCCACATGACCCGGAAGCTGTATGCCGGCTCCCTCGGCCAGTAAAGCAAGATGAGCACCGCAGCCCCAGAGTCATCGGGGACTGGACCTAATGGTCAGGGGTCCCTTTACCTTTATAAAAGTTATAGTTTAGGGCCCCCAAAAAAATTACATTTCCAAAATGTAAGATAAAAAACAAATAAAATAAAAACTACATACAGCAACAGTGGCAAATGGCTTTAGATACCTATTAGATTCATAAATTGCCATATAGCATATATTCAACACAAATGACAACGACAATGTGTTGTTGACAAGGGACTGCTGGACGTATAAAGGACCCCATTACCTTCAGTAGCTTAGGGCCTCATCAAACCTAAATCCGGCTCTGCTCACCTACCTCACAAGGTTGTTGTGAAGATAAAATGCGGAGAAGTACTATGTGCTCCTCCTTGTGCTCCTTGAAGGATATAAATGCAATAAAGGAAGAAAATCTTACTCTGAGGAAAGTGGGTACAAGATTACAGCCTAAGACTGCGGGGAGGGGGGAGTCAAGTTGGAAATGGCTAGATACTGAGGGCCCTACTATTTATTTAATCGGTCCAGTATACCTGAAGGAGCGTCTCCACCTCCATTGTTCAGTCCAGACACTGAGGTCTAGCGCCGAGGGCCTTCTGGCAGATCCCTCACTGCGAGAAGCCAAGTTACAGGGAACCAGGCAGAGGGCCTTCTCAGTAGTGGCACCCGCCTTGTGGAACGCCTCCCATCAGATGTCTTTTTTTTTTTTTTTTTTTAAAGCAATTTATTGGGTTTTACAATAAGAATAAACATAATAAACAATATAACATTTGTCTTAACATAGTTTCACATTTTCTTTGGACTTCCTCACATCTCCCGCTCCCACTTTCATCGTTATAACATTTTGTCAGCAATTTATCATCTTATTTAAATTCTTATATCTCTTCAATGTTTCATAATCTTATAGTTCTCATAAAGAGTTAAACTTTCACAGTCTTACTTATTTTCTTAAAAACTTCTAAGTTAAGTGGTGCTCAGTTATTTAGTCTAGCATCTTATTTAGCATTCACTCAAATCACAATATTTTTGTAGATAGTTCTTAAATTTCTTCCAATCCTCCTCGATTCTCTCTTCTCCCAGGTCACGGATTCTGCCGGTCATTTCAGCCAGTTCCATGTAGTCTATCAGTTGCATCTGCCATTCTTCCAGTGTGGGTAAATCTTGAGTTTTCCAATGTTTTGCAAGAAGTATCCTTGCTGCTGTTGTTGCATACATAAAATGTCTGGTCCTTCTTTGCCACCCCTTGGCTGACAATACCCAGAAGGAAAGCCTCTGGTTTCTTGGTAAAGGTATATTTAAATACCTTTTTCAATTCATTATAAATCATTTCCCAGAACGCCTTCACTTTAGGGCAGGTCCACCAGAGGTGGAAGAACGTTCCCTCACACTCTTTACATTTCCAACACTTATTATCAGACAGGTGGTAAATTTTTGCAAGTTTAACTGGGGTCATATACCATCTATAAATCATTTTCATTACATTTTCTTTCAGAGCGTTACATGCAGTAAATTTCAATCCATTACTCCACAACTTTTCCCAGTCCTCAAACATAATATTATACCCAATGTCCTGTGCCCACCTTATCATAGCCGATTTAACCATTTCATCTTGTGTATTCCATTCCAACAGCAAGTTATACATCCTTGAAAGTACCTTAGTCTTTGGTTCTAACAATTCTGTTTCTAATTTCGATTTCTCCACCTGGAACCCTAGTTTCTTATCATTTTTAAAAACTTCTTTAATCTGAGCGTAATGTAACCAATCTCGCACTTTGTCTTTCATTTTCTCCAAACTCTGCAATTTCCAATTGTCTCCATCTTTTTCTAGTATTTCCCAATATTTTGGCCATTTAGCCTCCATATTGGGTCTTTTTCGGGCCTTAGCTTCCAAAGGTGAAAGCCACCTTGGTGTTTTATTTTCCAGCAAGTCTTTATATTTTGTCCAGACATTAAACAATGATTTTCTGACAATATGGTTCTTGAAGGCCTTATTTGCTTTAACTTTGTCATACCATAAATATGCATGCCATCCAAAAACATTATTAAACCCTTCCAAATCCAACACATCAGTGTCTTCAAGAAGTAGCCAGTCTTTTAGCCAGCAGAACGCTGCGGCTTCATAATACAACTTTAAGTCTGGCAGGGCAAAAAGCCCCTCTTTGTTTTGCATCAGTTAATATCTTAAACTTGATTCTGGGCTTTTGCCCTGCCAGACAAACTTGAAATATCTCTCTGCCACTTCTGAAAGCACTCCATTTTGTCCAAGACCTGAAGTGTTTGAAATAAAAACAACATCCTTGGCAATACATTCATCTTAATAGCAGCAATTCGGCCTAACAAAGAAAGTTTCAATTTTGACCAACTGTCTAAGTCTCTCTTAATTTCTGTCCAACATTTTTCATAGTTATCCTTGAATAGACTTAGATTATTGGCTGTTATGTTTACGCCTCGGTATTTTACTTTTTAACCACATTAAGTTCCGTCTCATTCTGAAACCGTTCTGACTCTGTATCAGTCAAATTTTTCCCCAAAACCTTAGTTTTCTGTTTATTTAATTTAAATCCCGCCACCCGACCAAAATCATTAATCAATTGTAATACTCTTTTCGTACTGGGCTCTGGCTTCTGCAAGGTCAAAACCAGGTCATCTGCAAAAGCTTTTAGTTTATATTGTTTCTGACCAACCTGAATTCCTTCCACCAACCGATCCCCTCTAATCATGTTCAGTAGCACTTCCAGAACCGAAATAAATAACAAAGGGAGATAGGGCAACCTTGTCGTGTCCCTTTTTCAATTTTGAACTCTTCTGTGACCACATTATTAACTATCAGTTTGGCTTTCTGTTCTGAATATATCGCCTCAATCCCATTCTCAAAACCCCGTCCCACTCCCATCTCTTTTAAATTTCCCATCATAAATTTCCAGGAAATATTGTCAAAGGCCTTCTCCGCATCTATGAAAATTAAAACTGCTTTTGTATTTATATCTGTTTGCAGAAGTTCCAAGACGCCTCCCATCAGATGTCAAGGAAATAAACAACTACCTGACTTTTAGAAGACATCTGAAGGCAGCCCTGTTTAGGGAAGTTTTTGATGTTTGATGTTTTATCGCTTTTTTATTATTACTAATATCCTGCTGGCAGCCGCTCAGAGTGGCTGGGGAAACCCAGCCAGATCGGTGGGGTATAAATAAATTATTGTTATTATTATTGTTGTTGTTGTTGTTAAAATTCACCAAGGAGTTTACCACAAACATTGCCCAGCACTGATGGGCTGATAGGAGCCGTGGTCCAGCAACATATGAATGTGATTGTTTTAATGGAAAAGTAAATCAGTCCTACTTCCAGTGCATTTTGATGCAAAAATAATCACCACTGATCTCATCAGTATTTTTTCCCAAGTAAGGGTGCCTAAAAGAACAGACCTATGCATGTTAGCTCAAGAAGTAAGTCTCGCTGAGTGTAGCGAGATTTACTCCCAAGTAATTGTGACTTGGGAAAAGTGCAGAAAGCACTTATTCAGGAGTATGCATCGTTGAACAATATAGGAGCTCAGCTGCACTGAGTTGCCTTTTCCTTGGGGTCCCGGGTTCAATCCACAGCAAAGCCGCTGCCAGTCAGTGTGGACAATACTAAGTTAGATGTACCAATGGTTTGGTTTTATTTGATTTGATATAATGAAGTTTACTACGTTCCTATGAGCTAGTCTTAACTGTGAAGAAAACTTTCTTCTCTATAAATTACATTAACTCAGGGGCACCCAAACTTTTTTCAAAGAGGGCCAGATTTGATGAAGTGAATATGCGTGAGGGCCGACCAAAGTTCTTGAGCTTTTTTTAGGATTGGAGTTGCTGAGCCTTTTTTAGGATTTTACTCCAGGACATATACTGCTACAGGAACCAGATTAGGCCCCCAGAACGGACTGCATTAACTGATCAACCCTCATTTTGGAAAATGCACGTTAACAAGTTCCTCCAATGGTTGTTCCATATTGGAGCCACCAGATGGCGACTAAAATCTAGGTGTTAGAAAAGTGCAGCGTAAAATGGTCTTTTGAATGCAATGTCTAATCTGAAATATTTGAGGGCTCAGCCACACTTCTGCTTTCCCCTGGGAAAACCTGCTGTTTGCTGCTGAATTGTAACAAACGGTTTTTCTGAGTTTTGACTTTGTATCGCCTTTGAGTTCTTTGCTAGTCCTGTAAGAAGGGTAGAGAAAATTCCTGCAGTGCAGGTAAGGCTGGTATTTCACCACAGAGAGATGAATGATAAGTGTGCATGTTTTACATCTCTAAGATCCTAGGCTGAATCCCTGACATTGCCAGTTTCTCTCTGTGTGTGTTTTAAGATCTCAGGTAGCAGTGCTGGGATGGGCCTTTGTTCTATATTATTTGCATTTCCTGGTCTCTCTCTGTATAAAGCAAATGTTACACTACTGGGTAGGTGATCCTGGGCTAAAAGCATCTGCTCTTCATGCAGAAGGACCCAGATTATATTCCCTGGCATGTCCAAACAGGGCTGGGAGAGATCCCTGCCTGAAATCGTGGAGACCCACTGCCAGTCAGCAAGGGTTGATCAGTGCTTTGGCTCAGTATAAGACTGTGTCCTATATTCCTATGTCTGTCTCAAATTCCAGTTATCTGGGTTAATTTAATGAAATACTGACTCAGCCACTAAGTACTGTAGAAGAAAATAAAATGCCTATCAGTGTCCTCTCCCCTTCCTCCATCTCTGGACACAACAGATGCGGGGGTGGGGGGAGAGAAGCAGAGAGAACTGTTTTCACAATAATGGACTCTTTCCTGTCATAGAAATTCAGAGAGCAAATCAGTTTGATGACCTTTTATGTAAGAAGAGATGGTATCTCTAATTCGGAAAACGGTGAGAGGGAAAGTACATATGGCTAAGGCAGCTTTTGTGTGGTTGTGTGGCAAATGCAGAGGAGTGTGTGTGTGTGTGTGTGTGTAGCTGGGGGGGACTGGAAAATGGATGTTTTGGATCTTCTTAAATTGTCTGAAAATGAGTCTGACTCCGTTCCATAATTGCAGCTCTTTAAAAATATGCATCTCTTAATCCAGAATCCTCTCTTGTAAGAGTGGATCGTTACTGATGAATGCCTCTGTATTCTAATAGTGTGAGGATGTTTCCCTTCCAAGCAAGCCGGCTTTCAAAACCTTTAGATGAAACCCCTTCTCACAGAAGATACATGCAAGATCTACAGGAAATGGAAAGAGGGACTTGCCTCTTCATTGCATTCTGAAGCAGGGCAGGAGAGTAACCAACACTGCCACAAGTGACAACATACCTAAGGAAGAGCAGAAGACCAGCTGAGCAACTGGGCTTGGAGGACATTCTGCCCAACCATCACTTGGAAAGCTCAGGAGGAGTCAAGGTCTTTGAAAGAGGCAGGGATGACTGAGCAAAAACCCGAGAACAAGTGCTCTGAAACGTCTGACGCAGGAGATACTTAGCCTTTTAATAAACATTCCTTTAAAGAAGAGGGGAGAAATCATGACATTCATTTTGCACAAAGTTCTGGCCTTGATGTGTACTCATTCTGTTGCTGGACCACCACACACACTCCTTTGGGCTGGCGAAGGTCAACAAAGTTCACAACCTGTGCTGCACTCAAGGACACATTGACACAAATAGGCTGGATGCCAAGATTAGTATCAGGTGAACGCCACTGGAGTTCACGGAAGTTCACCTCCTCCCTGCTCCCTCTGATTACCCTCAAGGTCTAACTGCTGAGTCATCCTGAACACCCAAAGGACTGGGAGAATTATAAGTGTGTAGGTAACAGGCACCCCCTTTGCAGCCCATCTGTCGGTAGAGCAAACCCATCACAAGTCAAAGTAGCAATTTCACAACTTTGTCTTCAAAATATAACCCTGTGTATGTATTGCCTATACCTGCAGAATGTTTCATATGGAGGTGGTGTGTAGAAACTTCTTTGCGAGATTCAGCTAAGTTGTGTGCACAGAACAAGGTTTGCTCACACAGTGGGACCCCCTCCTCAATTCTCCCCCTGGTCCCCCTAAAAGTGGTCTGGATGGGGGTGGAACCCAAAACAGTTTCAGGGAGGTGGGTAGAAGAGAGGTGGGAATCTTCTCCTTGCTCAAGCGGACTTCATTCTGTGTACTCAGGTTTCCTACCCCATTTGAATGCTGATTTATTTTGTTATTCCTGGAATGGAAAGAGCTGGCCAAGCTTTACCACATTTATGAGAACCAGGCCTAACTTTGGCCTATCCTAACTCAAAAGGTGGTTTTGGTGAGACTGAGCCTGACAAACCCGTAGCTATTTAGAGCTCCCTAAAGGAAGGGTGAGATGTAGATGAAATAAATAAGAAGAGAGAGAGAGAGAGCACACACACACACACACACACACAATGTTTATTTCTGGAATTAAAAAGGAGGGAAAGAAATTGCTGAGCTTACAAACTGAATTGGAATACAAAAGAGGGAGGTATGAGGAAGTCTGGGAAACAAGTGAATGTAAAAGAGGTTATGAAAAGACGGAACTATTTTTAACTGTTTTCTCTTTTTTTTCTCTCTTTTTCTTTTTTTTTCTTTTTTTCTATTTTATATTTTGTATGGTGTATTTTTCTGTTTTTGTTAAAAAAAAATTTGTTTATTAATGTGATTTTATTCTTTTTGAAACTTTAATAAATATTAATCAAAAAAAAAAAAAACACAATGTTTATTTCTGCTTTATGCCTTGCCAAGAACCCTGTTGGCAAAGGATGAGTAACACTGATGTACTGTAGCATTGAACGGAATCCAGAACTCTTATCTTTTATCACCAGCCCTTTTTCTGCCCCGCTCTTCTCATTCTGCAGATTTTTCAGTCTGAAAGGTTGGCTTCATGACACAGAGCCAGCTGGTTCATACAAGTTCAATGAGCGATTGCCTAGTCTAGATAAAAACTTGCTGAATGCCACGTGTAATGATTTGGAATTCTAGATGTTTCCTGTAGATCTTGGTGTTTACAGCACTGGTGCTTGCCCCAAGTCAGAAGGAACCACCTCACTTGCCTTGTTGGGCCAGCAGCAGTAGCAGCAATAAAAAAAAAAGGGTGGTGGTTGCGGGGAGACTTCAAGATTCACATCTGGGTTCTTCTCCAAGGCAAGCTATACTGTCACTCTTCTGGACAGCTCAGTGTACGCTATACGTTATCACTTGACCCCCGCAATTTCAAATGATGTCCTGCATGTCTGAATCTTCACAGACAACCTCAAGGCTTGCTTTGCAGGTACAGCAGTGGGTGAGAGCCTTTCTTCAGAGCCTCCATTCCCACCCCACAGGGCTGCTGTAGTCCTAGCACAATATGGGCAGAATAACTCACACTGTTCCTTTCCCTCCAACAATCATTACTTGATCTCTGGCGACTGTGTGGTAAAGGGTTGCACAATTGGCCCTGCCCAGTTGGTTCCAAGCCTTAGGACATTGCAGGAGTCTTGTGGGGTGAATCTCCAGAAAAGCAGCTCTCATACTTCTTTTCCAGCCCGAACTGCAGGTGCTGAGAAGTGAACCAAGGGCCTTTTGTATACACTGAGCATAGGAAGTTGATGCTCATTTCCTTAGGAACTCATTGGGGCTTACTTTTTATCAAGCATGGTCAGCATGTGCTTGCTTATTTTATTCCTTGTTTATTCAGTATTGCCATGCATGGTGATTTTGTTTCAACAAGCATTTGGGCATCTTATGTTGTGTCATTTATTAACTATTAAATATGTATGTCACTTTTGTACAACGGGAAGAGGTTGTGCAATTAAATGAATGCAATGGTTCAAAGTACAGAACCCTTGAATTCATTTAATTGCAGCGAGCCTGTGTGTCCTCACAGCCCACTGTCTAAATGTATTACTTTTTACTGCTTGCTTATTTATCTGCTCATATCATAATTTTTAAGATTATACATATGTTTATCGCATTAGATGATATTAACATTTTGTGTCATTCAGGGTGTGGGGGACTTAACTTCCGAGTGGATATGCGTAGGATTGTACTCTAAGTGTCTTGAAAGTTGCCATACATTTTATAGAAAAGCATGACTAAAAACTGATAGATAGATGAACAAACAAACAAACAAATAAGAATATTTAAAGTTCTCATGGGTAATTCAGACCTTACGCAATATCTCTAAGACAGTTGCCCAACCTTCTACTTTCAGTGAAACATTAAAGAGCACGTGCCTCTCTGTGTGGGAGTCAAGCAGATGACCTGGAAAGTTTGCCATTGCTGTTTTGTTGGCAGCTAATTGGCAGGATGTCTGTAAAGGACTTGAATCTGGATGCAGGACACACAGGCTTATTTATAAATGTGTCTTTACAGAAGGCTCTTGCACTGTACAGGGCAGAACAAAGAAAATCCGGTTGTACCCAGCTTCAATCCTCCTGTTGCACCTTTCCTCTTTATTTCCTTTCTCCATTGCCTGTGATTTGGGAATCTGCTTCTCTGCACTTGTCCAGTTCACTGAGCCATTTATGGCTGCTCTCTCATTACAGTTTATGTTTATGGACTCTGCCATTGAAAGGGAGGGGGGGAGGAATATGGCATCCAGCTTAATCATTTACAAGAGTCCAAGCAGCCTAGGAGAAGAGGTAGAAAGGGGGTTTCCTTGTCTGTGCATTCCCACTGAGAACACAGAAGAGGGAAACACATGAGTGGTGTTCTGTTGTCTTCTGAGAACCAGGCAGAGGGCCTTCTCGGTAGTGGCACCCGCCCTGTGGAACACCCTCCCATCAGATGTCAAAGAGAACAACAACTACCAGACTTTTAGAAGACATCTGAAGGCAGCCCTGTTTAGGGAAGCTTTTAATGTTTGGTGCTTTACTGTATTTTAATATTTTGTTGGAAGCTGCCCAGAGTGGCTGGGGAAGCCCAGCCAGGTGGGCGGGGTAATAATGATGATGATGATGATGATGATGATGGCTCCACCATTGCGAATTAAGACACATTGCAAACATCTCAGCTCCTTTGTTGTATTTCTTCATCTCCTACCACATTTCTTTGGAGACCAACTCAGCCAGATCTCCACATATAACTGCTGAAAGTTGCCCGATTAGCTTAATGCCAGTCTTAGTAAGCACTGTTATTTGTGAGTGTCTGCAACACTGCTTTTGACCACTGCTTTGCCTCAGTATATCAGTATTGTCTGCTGACTAGCAGCAGCTTTCCAGGATTTTAGAGAGGACCTTTTCCCAGTCCTACTTTGAGATGTCAGAAACTAAACATACTGTATATGCATTGCAGCTGCCCACCCCATCAACATCTGCCACCTGAGGCAGCTGCCACACTCTTTGTAATGGTAGGGCCGGCCCTGTAAATTACAGAGCAGGGATGGATACATTACTAGAGACTTGGGGCTAATCCATCTTCCTGATCTTGCCCTACATAGCCCCTAATTTGAAGGACTTCCCCATTCTTCCTTGTGCTTGCTAGATTGCTTTTTGTTGTGTGTGTTTTAAGTAACATAATTCCATGTGACGCATTTAGCATCATGTCTAGTTTGGCTCAAGAATCACAATCATGTGTGGCGGCATGTCCCACCTCCCCGCACAAGTTTCTATTTGCATTGAGAGCAAAAACTCCAATGGAAAAGCTGAGATAAATACAGATAGCAAGGGCTTTGTTTTTAAAACACACACATACAATAAGGGATTTATTCAATAAGACAAGACCTTTCATAAAAATGTAGTTTAGATGTGTATGGAGCATAAGAGAAAAGCTGAAGAGCCTGTCAATTTTGTAGATAACAACAGGGATATTGATAGATGGAAGAAATTCACCCACGAGATCATCAAATCAGTCATATCCTTCAGAGAGGAAAAGGCACAAAGCGAAAGCCATGTGACATATTAGATACAACAGGGAACAGAACTGCTCTCAAATGTTTGCACCAAAGTCAGCCAAGTGTCTCGGGACTTACAAGATCATCTAAAGGAAATCAGCATTGAGGAGGCAAAATGTGAAGCCTAATTGTAGGCAAAGTACTTAAACCCTTCTGCGTTTGTTGAGTAGTGATCTTACAGAGCTGATTGGGAGTGCCTAACTAGAAAGGTGCCAAGTGTACCATCCAAGCAGGTAGCAGAACCTCCTTTGATAAGGCTATTCCAATAGACTAGGAGTCGAATGGTGCCTTAAAATAACAACCCTTTTGGTCACTAGGGTGCAGGTTAGCATGGTATGCAATGAATCCATATGGGTGTTTCCTGAGTGATTCACCATATAGATTGTCATTTTTACCAGGCCACTCTAAAAGTCATTTAAATGAAGATGTGCTGATCATGTGCTCCATATTTGTGGAAAATAAAATTAGCACGCTTGTGCAGATTGTGGGCTCAGCCATGTGAACCATAACCTACATCCATACCAGAGGATCACCATAACTTGGTATTACTCTGGATGTTTCCATGACTTGGTCTGGTGAGCCACACTGGCCATGATAAGTTCATGGCTTCAAACCTGTTTTGGACAAGGCCTAACACACATCACAATTCGCGATATATTGCCAGGTCAAAAATTATGAAACTAATATCACAATACGGACTTCAAACCAGTTTTGGACAATACATCGATATATCACCCAGACCTAATCTCTACCATGAAACTTCAAGACTGAATGCAAATATGAATGGTACTGTTGGTATCTCTAATCAAGAAGAACTATTATTTGACTAATCAATAGATAATACAAGAGAGAAACTTGCCTTACATGTCTCATGCATGAAAGAATGCTTTTGAGCGTGGAACAGAGCAGCAAGTCTTGGAAGTAGGTGCAAAATAGATGTGCCAAGATTACAGAACAGCTTTTGGCTGTTGTGCAACATTGGGCGGGGGGGGGGAGTTCTGTAAGCACCGTCTTTACTTCAAACAAAATCGTGTTTTAGAGACAGTGATTTCACCACCAACTGGCATGTATCTTTATTACTTGTCTACTTCAGTGCTTCAGAAAGGGTAGAAGGAATTACTGTGATGCAAGAGCAGCCCTTGCTTGAGCAGCTTAAAAATATCCATGTGTTTGCTTGCCACATGGCCTTTTTTAAAAAAAACCAGCCTGGGCAGACTTTTATCTGTGCCAGGCTTTTGTTGTTGTTGTTCTTGTTGTTGTTTAGCTCAGCTTTATGAGTCATTGTTTTGAATGACTCTTGCCTCCTTGGAGTTGCTTCCACAAATTAGGGCTACGATCTTATCTGCACTCACCCGGGAGAGAACCCCATTGAAATAAATGAAATGTGCTTAGATGTGCATAAGATTGCACTGTAAATATTCGGAATGTCTGTCTCTTACTAGGGAGGGGCTTGAACTTTGTAGAATAATGTTTTAATAGTCCATATCTTTGCTTCATAATCTGGAGCCTCTGAAACTGTACAAGAATAAGGATGCTTTCTAATGCTTGGGAGGGTACAGTGCATAATACAAACCACAGGAGTTGCAGTCAATGATGTTATGCAGACCCATGGGAAGGCAGACTTCTGGATTAAGGGACCTACTTTGCTTTT